GTTGGGAAGCAGTATTTAACCTAAAAGATAAATAAACAAGGCTGTACCAAAAGGTATATTCACCACCCTAAATGTGACCAAACTTTTCTATGATTACATATATTTTGTTTTTAAAAATCAAAACAAAAACTTGATATTTAAACATGTCTTTCAGACGTTTGCTCTGCATACCAAATCACACTGACTAGCGATTTATAGAATTGGTCATTTCCTTTTATTGTAACTGTTAAATGTAAAGGTGACCTAAACAAGTTGAGGTTTTAAAGAATTTTATAAATTGATCAAGTTACAATAATGGTACAAAAAAGGGAAGGAAGAGCAAGAATATGAGAACAATGACACTTTTTTCCAACCTCAGACATTAATTAGGCTGAATCCATGGGGTGAAATTTGTATGAAACTTAAGACGCAATAGTAGTTGACATTATATTTAATAGTAGCATCTGAAAATAGCCATGCAGTTTTGTAAGCACTTTTAAAGTTTACTCTCATATTTTATCATTCTGTTTTTTTTTTGTTCCCCCCTCAGTTCTTCAAAAAAAATAGCAACACCAGGATTTTAGTTTCCATACTCCTACCCCAGGCAGATGTTTTGATTACCAGAGTGATTTTTGTAATCCTTCCTGTTGTTATGACTATCAGTGCTTTTCTGAGTTCCGTAGTGATAGAACGAATAGTCATTTTACACAGAAGAGTCTGTTTATGGCAGAGTGGTGACTGTTGATTTGCCAAGAGCGCACTGTGAAGGTTTCAGGGATTGGCACATACATAGTAAAAATACAGAAATATGCTGGGAGATGATTAATACCAAGTTCAGGGTAAATGCTATCTTTAGAGAGGAGAATTAGGGGAAGGGGGAGGGGGGAAGAGAGGCATGCACTTCAGCTGTGTCTATAATGCCTTCTGGGTTTCAGAAATGGGGACTTGGAGCAAACATAGCAACGTGTTAACATATATTTAATCTGGATTGTGAATACATGGCTATCTGTCATTTTTTCCTATTCTTTTCTGCCACTAGTATAAATAAATAGTAAAGCATGTTCTTGTTTATTTCAGAAAGAGATCCGTAGCTCCTTGGTTCTTTTCAATGTTGCAACAAATGTCAATGGAAGACAAGGCAGATTCGGTAAGAGAAGCTGTGATCAAAAGCCTTGGTATCATTATGGGATACATTGATGACCCAGACAAATATCAGCAGGTATGCTTTTCAGAAAAAATCCCATCTATTCCATTATAAAATTCCGAATGGTGTAATATCCCAAACCTCTGATTCAGATACCCCATAATCTATGGTAGGGATGGCAAGTGGGTCAACTTGAGCAAGTTAAAGTTGGCTGCCTGGTTTCAATTCTGCAATTTCAAGGAGAAAGTGCGTTGATTCATTTATAGTATCTGCCACAGCTTTGTGGCAGGAAATTGGCAACAAGCTTGCCATTTTCTCTCTGGTTTCCCTCAAGGGATACATGACATTTTTCTTTAAAGAAATTGGGGAAGGCAGGCTTATGAATGGCTTCTTTCTTGCTTAAAATGTCTTCTAAATGTATTGGAATGTATGTTTATTACATTTTGTTGTGTGTTTGAGGCTTCTGTTTTGTTTTAAATCTGCATTGTGTCTGTTTCCTTTTGGCAGGGTTTTGAACTGTTGCTGTCAGCCTTGCGTGATCCCTCAGAAATAGTCGTTAGTGCCACACATCAAGTATTTTTACCAGCCTATGCTGCCTGGACTACAGAACTTGGAAATTTACAGTCTCACCTAATACCCACATTGCTGAACAAGATTGAAAAATTTCTCAGGGTAAATGCTTCCTTTATTTATACAGTTAATAGAAATTTTAAAGGTGTGTTTTAAGGCATCTTGAAAGAATGTTGGGGAAACAAAGGTAGAAAGTACCACTTTGCTGAACATTCTAGTTAATTACCCGTTAAAGATTCTATTGGTCTGGAGCCAAGAGAGATTTGAGGAAGTTTTGCTTGACTGAAGCTAATGAGAAAGGGCACAATCTGACTTTGTTAGCTAAAATAGCACTTTTGTGGCACCTACTCTGACACTATTCCCAACGCTGCCTCTTCCAAACCTCTTCTGAATACTTAAATACTATAGATAAAGTATCAGCTTCAGTCCCCAGAATGCAGAGATAACTTAAAATATGAGTCTTCAAAGCTTTCTTGTTTACACAGTGTCAAATGTTTTAACTTTTTTTCACTGCATTTGTTCATGCCCTCACTCTTTAAAATGAAATTTTCTTTTCTTTAAAATGAATTTTCCGTTCTTCCTAACAACAAAAGAAAAGTCGATACAACGAAACTAATTTTTGTACTAAAAGTCTCAACGTCTAGGGGAAAAACTAACATTTCTTTCATGTGTATTATGTACACATTATGTACCATATTTTATAAATAATATCTATTATTTCATTCTTAGAACTCTTTGAATTATATTTTGGTTTTTTGGTGTGGAAACTGTTTAACTTACCACAGCTGTCAAATGACAGGACCAGGATCAGATATCAGCCTCTGAAACGACACTGTTGCCCTTTCTACCCCCAGATTTTAAGAATCTTTATCAGACTCCTGACATAAAGTATTTTAACACACATATATATATATATATATATATATATGTATGTATATATATATATACTACTCTGTATATCATCTTACATGTATGTATGTGCATTTATCTAATTTAAAAATTGGACTTTTTTTCCTGTAAATTTCAAAATGCAAGTTGAAGACAATAAATAGACAACTAGACTGGAGTACTTCTTTTTATGAAACCTAGGGAATTTTTCTCAAGTATCTGTTTTTAAATATTTGCATCCCTTCTATCTGAGAATTATCCATACTGGGTTTTCCTTGTTCCATTCCATAACACAGCTAATTCCACATTGCTGCTAAACATAGCTGCAGTATTCAGCACAGGTAATGGTCCATAAAGAAACTAACTAATTTAGAACTTGATAGTAAAAAAGCCTAACATATCTGGTATTTCTGACACAGTTGTTATTTATAATATAATGAGATCCCAAGTGGATTTGAGCAGCATTAAATGCTTTTATCTCTAGTGATTCTAGTTTTCACTTTAATACTTGGTTTCTGTGTACCATAGTGATCGTTTTACTCTTTTTGGTGGTGGTTTCTATTATCTCTTTCTTTTGTTTCCTTTTGAAATAGCTTCTCTGTTTTACAGTGAATTATTTTAAAGTGCATTAAATACTGGCAGATATAGTTGTCATCAAATCTATGAAAGGAGTTTGGAAGTAGAGAGAAAATAATAAGTGCTACTGCTGGTTTAACAGTTGAACATTTAAAATGATTCCTTTGATCACTTTAATATCTTTAACCTGACTTCTAAAATTTCAAAAGTTAAGACCCTCTTAAAAGAAAAAACCCGTGAAAGAAGTTCCATACAAATGAAATGACTGATGTTCACCCTGAAGTTTTCCATACAAAAGATTCTATTAAGTCCACAGTGCCTTGTGAAAGTTAAAATGTTAGCCGACCGGTAGTGTCCAACTCTCTGCGACCCCATGAACTGCAGCCCACCAGGCTCCTTTGTGCATGGAATTCTCCAGGCAAGAATACTGAGTGGGTTGCCTTTTCCTCCTCCAGGGGATCTTCCTGATCCAGGGATCGACCCAGGATCTCCTTCACTGCAGGCAGACTCTTTACCTTCTCAGCCACCAGGGAAGCCCCCACAGTGCTTTAGCTCTTCATATTTTCACATACTCAGAGCAATTCAGAAAAGATTCTTGGTCATCTCCATTAGGTTTACTGTGAGGCTAACACACATGTTCGTCAATGTTTTATTGTTTGCCACCGAAAGGAAGAGCATCATAAATGCATACTCTCAGGAGACTAAATTAGCTTCCACCTACTTATGTTTCAGGAAGGTGAGCACGGGCTGGATGAACATAAGCTCCACATGTATCTGTCTGCCTTGCAGTCCTTGATCCCATCTCTCTTTGCATTAGTGCTACAGAATGCACCCTTCTCCAGCAAAGCCAAGCTTCATGGTGACGTGCCACAGATAGAAGGTATTGAGCTTAAATTATGGAAGGGAGATGTAGAACATTGACAGCTTAGCTTCCCACAGAATTGTTTTTGATTAAAATTGTGAAAGTCACTTTGTTTTAGTTGCTAAATCATGTCCAACTCTTTGCAACCCCGAGGACTGTAGCCCACCCGGCTCTTCCGTCCATGGGATTTCCTGGGCAAGATTACTGGAGTGGGTTGCCATTTCCTTCTCCACAAGTCACTGTATGACAGCATAATTACTAAAATGTGTTATATGTGTGGAACCGTGTGGTCAGAGATTGTATGATACCTAAGGGGAGCTACCTGGCTTCATCATTTATGGATAAGCCTCATGGTGTTATTTTACAATATTTATTCTTCCTCTCCATTCTTAATCTAGAGCCTTTTTGTGGCCTTTTTTTTTTCAGTGTGGTAAGTCAGAAGTGTTTTTTTTTATTAACAGAGCTGAATTAATAGTTACCAGGGTCAGTTCGTGAAGCTTTTCCTTTTCATTTTCTTTGTATTTTTTTTTCTTCCTCAGCTGTTTTGTGTTATTTTCAGTAGGGGAAAGAAAGTGTAATTGCTATTTCCTGCTGTGTCCTTGATACGGATATAAGCATATGCAGCACAGGTTTTTTTTCCCCCAGAAAAAAGAATATAATTATTTTCAGGAATAAATGAAATTGATAGCAAAAGCCATTATTTTCTTAGCTCAGAGTCCAGCTAACCAGTAAGTGACCTTTGATCCATGGCACGTGGTAGCCCCAAAGCACCCAACCACCAGGATAAATGGCCATAGACAAGCTATTAGTATGTATGAGGTTTTCAGATTTGTGAAATTATTCATATCTCTTCTGTGCTTCTAATAAACAGGAGTATAAATGCAAGTGTTTTTAGTGCTACAATTTCCATATAAAGTAAACTGGGCCACCTGTAATCTCTGGGATATGAAGCAGTATATCCAACAATGTGTGAAGCATCGCATAAAAATGGTATATACTGTAAGAATGCCAGTTTTACTTGGAAAATTGAGAATGGATAAGGTAGAGTTAATTTAATAATTTTTAATTATAATTATTGAGGAGAATGCAACTTCAGACTTAAAGATAAACCACAAAGCGCTCACAGCTGGCCGCTTTAGGTTTACCCCTTCACTCGTTAAGGCACTTCGGCTGCCTAGGGACTTTCTAATCCCCTGTTTCTTTCTATCTTGCTGCATTGTTCTGCTACATCCACCATAACAGAGTAAGTGAAACGCAGTGCTTTAACATCAGATGCTTGTTGTCGTGCAGTTCTGAAGGCGAGAGGTCTAAGATCAGGTTGTCAGCAGGGTTGGCTCCTTCTGAAGGCTGTGAGGGGAAAGCTCTTTCCTGCCTGTGCTCTAGCTTCCAGTGGCTTGCTGGCGATCTCTGGTACTCTGGCTTGTAAATGCATCCCCCGGATCTCTGCTTTCATCTTCACATTCCGTTCTGTGTGTGTGCGTGTGCGCATGCGTGTCTCTGTGCCCAAACTTCCCCTTATTATGAGATCAGTTATATTGCACTGAAAGTCCGCACTGTTCCGTGTGACTTCATATCTAATTACACCTGCAACAGTGCTATCCAAGTGAGATCATGTTCTGAGGTCCTCGGGGTTAGGATTTCAGCATACACATTTTTAAGGGAGACACAGTTCATCCCATAGCATTTGCTATCATTCATTCACTTAGCCAATAATTCTTCAGTGTCACCTATGGCCAAGCACATGCTAGAGATTAGACAGAAAAACTTCAAAACTACTTCACCATTCTGAACAGATGTTTATGTGGCCTTTCCTTGTGATTATGTCTTTATTATGTCAAAAATAATCTTAAATTCTCACTGAGTTAATTTGACCTTCTGACTTTTAATAGTAGCTGTAAATGTTAATGTCATTATACTCACATGTTGGTTATAATACATTTACTATAAATGAGGAAATACTATATCTGTATTTGGGATCTGTCTGTATAGCTGTGTCTGTATGTCTGTCTATATGTACATCTATATAATTTGGGATACAATTTATTACAAGTGAAGATTTATTTGTTTTTCTCTTAAATAACGAAAATGCCACAACACTAGCTAATATGTATGCAAGGTACTATTTTGAACACTTCAGATGCACTCACGAAGAAAACAGACAAAAATCTCTGCCATCATAGAGCTGACATTTTGGAGGGAAGGAAATACATTAAAGAATCATAGCAGCTGTTATTTTGCTGGATTTGGATACTTTTGGTAATTTTTAGACAATGAAATGCTAGCTTTTTGCCAGTCTATTGAAATGGCCTTCTGAGGACTTTTCTGTATGTTCACAAGTTAGATGCTTAAATTTTTAAAAAGCCTTTTAAACAGAATAACACTTTGAGGTTCCTAAACCTCAAACTTATCATTCCAACTACTTATCTTTTACAACTGAGTTGTCCATGGTGTATTAATTGCTCAGTTATGTCTGACTCTGCGACCCCATGGACTGTAGCCCGCCAGATTCCTCTGTCCATGGAATTCTTCAGGCAAGAACACTGGAGTGCGTAGCCATTCCCTTCTCCAGGGAATCTTCTCAACCCAGGAATCAAACTCCAGTCTCCTGCATTGCAGGTGGATTCTTTACCATCTGAGCCCCCAGGGAACCCCTGAGTTATCCAAGTAATTGCTTATTTCATGTTTTGCTTCTGTTGGACCTTGCTTTAAATCTTTGGACCTCAGTTTTCCTATAATAAATCTTAACAGTATCTATTTGACGCTTAACTCTTCCACTGTTTTTGAGTAATTTGTCATATTTCTGAAGGAATAATATGCATTCCATCGTAGTATCACAGGTTGTGACCAATATCATATAATCCTATTTGAAATGATCAGATGTGCTTCAACATGATACAGAAATATGAGGTACAACTATCCCTCACTGTCCAAATCTGTTTGATTCCTTGATTGAGATAATGACGATTCATGCATAAATCTCAGAGTGTGGGATACCATTTTACCTTAATTCGTTTATTCGTGTATTATGATAGCCAGTAGAGACTTTAACTAACAAAGGACAACCTTTATCTGTCCTTAAGATATTGTTAAGTACCTTAGGAAGCATAGGAAGATAATAGCACCTTAATTTTGTCTTTCAACATTTTAAAAGTTATTTCATGTTTTCTTAAGTTTAATGATTATCATTAAGCCATTCATATGCTTTGAGAAAATGCTGCCTCCTTCATTGTGTCTTTTTAGGGTGTTAACCTCTATGCAGGAGCTGTTGGGCCACTAGGAATTTCTCTTCAACAGTTAAGGAGCTGTTGGTAGCATTCTTCACTTAAGAGCCAGCTAAGACCTGGAATCTAATCTAATCTAATCTGTAGGATCATACATTTTATTGATATGTTCAAATTTGAAAATATACTAATGTATATTTGTTATTTATTTACACAATTTTTAAAGTCATTTTTTCAGTTTTCCCCCAAAACTTTTAAAGTTTGTATTTGAGACCCTGGTTATAATATTTATAATAATTTTTTTTATTATTACTATATATGGCTTTATCTTATTGGTCACTGCTTTTAACACTATATTAACTTAATGTTTATCAAACTATGGAAAACTTGCTAAATAAAGCATTTAATATTGGAGATTAAATACTTAAGAATCCTGTTCAGCTCAAGCTTTAGTGTATTTTAGGTTATTCTCGGGTATCAAACAATTTTTCCCTGCTGTCAACCTATTAGTTTCTTACTCCATGAAGGAAATATCTTATTGTAGTTACTATTTATTGACATAAGCAGTCTGGTGGATTAAATTCAAATCCATATTTTAACTGAGATCTTATTTTGGAGCAAATTTTAAAATAAATAAAGTTTTGCTTTTTACTGGCAAACTTTCATTTCAGTATTCGTTTACTAGATGTTTAGTCTCATAAAATCTTAACTTTTTGAGATTTGTTAAATATGTTCACATGCAAGAGAAATTTACAGTCGACCCTTAGACAACAGGAGTTTGAGGTATATACATCCACTTACATATGGATAGTTTTCCATAGTTAATATTGTAGTACTGCCTGGTCCATGGCTGGTTGAACTTGTGGGTGTGGAGGAATCTCTGACACAAAGGTCTGACTATAAGTTAGACAGTTTAACCCCTGATTGTTCAGGGATCAACTACATTTCATTTTTTTCTGAAAGTGATTTAGTGTATTTAGGTTTTGTATTTGAAGTCTAGAATATGCTAAATAGATATTAGGAGGCAGAACCTTACTTTTCTTCTGATCAGAGAGTTAACTTTCCAAACCGCCATTTTCTGCATGACTTATTTCGCGTCTCTGTGTTTACAGTGACTGGGTTCCCTTGGCCTGTGTCACCTCTTCAAGATGTATCTACTATTATTGGAAGTCATGAGCAACTGGCATTGCTACTACAGCTTTATGACTGCCGGCTGGAACACGAGGGTACAACCGGCTGGGAGACTTTACTGTGGGTTGTCAGTCAGCTGTAAGTTACCACCTCCATGTTCATTGGGTACATCTCAGCTACTCGAATGGAAGATAGCCCAGCTCACGATATTTAGCCTGGGAACTGAGGGACAAAATATAGCAAAATATTTTTTTTTTATATAACAAAACATAACTTGGCGTCATCTGTGGTAACTGTCTTCAGGAGAGAAGATTTATACCTGTACACATGTAGTTGCTTATCTGTGCTTATCTGTGTCTGTATTACTGCAGAAAGACCTGTCTGCTCCCTTAGTATCTAAAAGTGGTGGTGGATTGTAAACGACATCCAGACTTCTCATTTTTGAGGCTAAAATATATGGTGCCATGTGAGCCAAGCTTTTGTATGAAGTATCACCTCCACTGACTTAAGTCTTATTAACACCACACTTAGAACTCTGCCATTAAGGTTCCATATATTTCATGACAATCTGTTAAAATGTAAGAAGTTTACAGAATATAAAGTTAAGACTTTTTCAAAGGGTCCCAAACAACTCCTTTGCGTTCTAATTTTACTGGCTGTGAAAAGCGGAAGAGATTGTTAGATTTGGATTGTTTCAGAACTTGGCAAGGAAACAGTAATTTATTTGTATCCCCTGCCGATTTTCCTTTCTTTCCTATTCAGGTTACCACAGCTTATAGAAATAGTTGGCAAAATTAATGTCACTTCAACTGCCTGTGTCCATGAATTCTCCAGATTTTTCTGGCGCCTTTGCCGGACATTTGGCCAAATTTTTACAAACACTAAGGTAAAAACTTGTATTTCATATTTTCTTATATGCAAGACATATAAAAACGTAATGTGTTAATTAATGATATGGGAGAGTAACTAAAAGCAGAGCCCTTCCTTTATTCTAATTATCTTTTAACATCTTAGAAAGCTATGATAATAAAAGAAAATTCTGGTCTGTAATATTCTTATCTTTATTGACTTTCAGAAAATGATTTAGCCAAAATTCAGTCTGTATCCACATTTAAATATAAGGTCTGCTCACTGTGGATGTCTCAGAGCTTTCCAGCAGAGAAAGGATCAGCTAGGGGACTCCACTGCAATTCCGTGAATGTGATTCTTGTACTGAATCTACCACAGATTCAGGAAGCCCCCATTTCCTCTATATTCTTTTGTCAGAACTTTAGGTGATTGTGGGCGTCCCTGATAACTCAGTCGGTAAAGAATCCACCTGCGATGCAGGAGACCCCAGTTCGATTCCTGGGCCGTGAAGATCCCCTGGAGAAGGGATAGGCTACCCACTCCAGTATTCTTGGACTTCCCTTGTGGCTCAGCTGGTAGAGAATCCACCTGTAGTGCAGCAGATCTGGGTTTGATCCCTGGGTTGGGAAGATCCCCTGGAGAAGGGAAAGGCTACCCACTCCAGTATTCTGGCCTGGAGAATTCCATGGACTATATGGGGTCACAAAGAGTCGGACACAACTGAGCAACTTTGACTTTCACTCAGGTGATTATAGAAACAAAGCAGCTNAATTCATAATTAGTTACTTAGGACTTTTAAAACTTAAAACAAGTATAACTGAATAGAATATAAGGTATACATATTTTTTTGTAATGAAACATGAGATTTTTAAGAAACGACAGGCTTTAATGGGCAGCTCTAGCCCCTCTGTTCATAGTTTTCAATTACTGTCTTAAGAAGTCTGGTTATAGCACCAAGAACTCCTTTATGTGTGGATCGTATGTCCCTGTGTATTTTTAGGAATGAATTGTGAAAAATATTAAGGAAAAAAATGTATAGTCCCCGTGGTTTGTATTTTAACTTGGCTGTTTTGGATGTATAGGTAATTCTTATCTCAGTCTTACCTTAGTGATTTGATTTGAGTCATCTGGAAAACTCCATTTCTGTCTGTCCTCAGAGGTAATTAGAGGGTGAATAAATGATTCCTTTTAAGTTTGAAAATGCAGTGAGGTGTTTTTTTTTTTTTTTTTTGACAAATGCTTCCTAAAGTTTATATTTAATAGCTTTCTAATGGTTTAATTACTTGAAATTAAAAATTGGTGTTATCTGTTTAGTTAATTACTCATTCTTATGATATCTTTTAGAATTATTAGTTACAAGGTGATTATATACAGTCTATATGTATGAATTCAACTTAAGCTTATGTTCGTAGCCTCAGATTTACCTCTCAGCTACCATAGTCACACTCAGCCAACATCGGTACTACCCAAAAGATAAAATTACTCTTGCCAAGAGAATAAAAAAACCTCAAATACTAATTGATATGAAAATAGATTCTTTTCTGGTGAAAATACTTTCAAGATAGTTAAATGCATGCTTTTAACTGAATTCTGTATGTACTACTTTCTGAAAAGAATTTAAAACCATATAAGAATAGAAAAAAGTAATTTTTAAAAGTTTGAGTACATGAAAGCAAATGTGAAGTGCTTCAAATAATGCCTAACATCAGTAAGTGAGAGCTGTTGGTGCTGTAAATAGCAACTGCCATATCATCTCTGGACCTGTTTTTAAAAAATCATCTACACATGCTGCATAAGAAGGAAAATCTGATGTCTTAAAGTCGTCACAGGACACTCAGCTTTCCCCTCTCCCCAAGCTGTATTTAGCCTCCCTACTCCATGAAAATAGTCAGGGTTCTGTCTGGCTTCTGAAAAACCCCTGTACAGGATGCAGGAAGAGGTCTGGAACTAGGCTAATACTAGAAACTAGGTAGTGTCTCGATGTCTAGAAGCAGGTTAAATATATATCTAGATGTCTCCTTTCAGCTGAGTACCTTGATGTTTTACTGAATACTGCAAATTAGAAGTCTGAAAATTCATACAACATGCTTATACGGCCACTTGGGAAAGTGTTAAAGAAAGCTCTGATTTATGACTATGCAAATAACAGTATAGCATCTCATTTTGGTCATTAAAGTTTTTCCCATCTATCAAAATTGTGTATGCTAATGGCTCTGAAAAGTATTAAGTTGCATTTTCACAACCACCAGTGGATATGCATGTTTTGATCAAAGTATTTTTAAAGTAATGATAACATTTATTTGTAAGCCTTGTAACCAATTGTAATTTAAAATATAATTTGTATTATGACATTTTGCTTTACATTTAAAGCATACTCAGATATTTAAAATTATTTTTGTGATTTTTAGATTCCTCAGCAGGAAATGGGGTCCTCACTAAAGCTACTGTCCCCATTTACGCAACAGGAGTCCTTACGTGTTATATTCAGGTAAGGAAAAAATTCTTTGGCTGGAAAATGTAAAAGCACTGTCTGTTTAGAAAGATAGCTAATGTTATGTCTTTTAGTGTGTTTATAAGTGAAAATAATACCCATAAATGAGAAAAAAATTTATTTATTCTTATTAAATAATTTATAGTAGAAAGCATATTTTAATAATAGTCTCTTGAGGACTATCTCTGTTAAATAAAATTAGAGATTGTGTGCTTCTTGATATTTTGTTTAAAAGTGTTAGATTGTACTTATGTAGCAATTTCTTTGTGTTTCATGATAATTTTTTCATTAATAAAGCACGTGTGTTAGCTGAAGCACACTGCAAAATGCTGTAACATACTGTTTCATCATTTTTAGCAAAGTATTTTGTAATTCTGAAACATGAAGGATTGTTATAACTCTTTTATTGCTCATGGTCTTTGCTCAGCTGGGCATCTCTTCCGCTGTTCTTGCTGGTAGTCGCTGTGTGGCTGCGTTCACCTGGTTGGTTGGTGGGGCTCCTGGAAGCGTGGCTGGGCTTCAGTCCCCATGGTCTAAGGGCCTCTCTCTGTCTGCATGTCCTGTGGAGCGGCAGAGCCAGACTCATTCTGTGCTAGCTTAGGGCTCCCAAAATTGTAAGAAACAGAATTTGCTAGGCTGCAGCCTAGGCTTTGGAATTAGCACATCACTACTACTGCATTCTGTTGGTTAAAGCAAGTCACAGGTCCAATCCAGATTGAAAAAAGAGGAAACTGAATGCGAGCTTGACCCAGGAGGTGGTTCATTGGTGGTCACCAGTATAGCAGACCACCCCACTCTACATAGCATTGCTTTAAATTAACACGTTGTGTGTTAAGGCACATCAGTCGTTTTTAAGTGTGAGGCAGTCCTACCTGTGAGTTGAAAATGTGGACTCAAGATAAAGCATTTTTAGAAATCATGACACAATAATTCCTATGTAGTATTTCTGACCACTCCCCCCAATTAATCTGAATGTAATCATAGGAAAACAATAAAATAAATCCAAATTAAGTTTTAAAAAAGAATTAGAATGGGAAAATCAGAGGAAGATCTTTTTTCCCCCGTTTTCTACACTAATTCCTAACTTTTTTGCCTTTTGAATTCAAAGTATAGCCGTTCGTATTTATTGCATTCTTCTTCCAAAACAGATTTGAACCATCTTATAATATGAAACTGTAGATCTCCAATATCTTGTAGTAGAAGCTCCAACTCAGTTAAAGCAGTACAGTATTCTTTTAACTTGTCTACCCTAGTTTCTCAGACTACTTCATAATATAGATACACACAGGATCTCTGTGTTTAGAATATTTTAAGTCATATAACCTTAACAGATTGAATCCATTGTTGTCCTTAAAGTTGTGGAGATTAAGTCCTAGCACATTACCAGGCACATCAGCACAAATACCATTTTCCTCTTTAATTTTGCAAGCTCTTCCAGCAGAATAACAAAGATGATGTCAGTATTTTCCTCTCTCATTTTTAAGCTTGGGCAGTAAGTATGCTAAGTATGTTGATTTTGACCATAAATAGTATTTTAAGGCATAATAAATATGAGATACATATTTTAAGGCTTGATAAAGTATGAAATACAAGGTTTGTCTCATAGTAGCCCCTCAGAATAGATTTACTGAATACATCAATATAGATTTTTTTTTTTAGTAACTGTGAAATCCAAATATCTAAAGAGATAAGAGCTTTGCTGCTATTTATAGAACAAGAAGTGAGTGGCTATCATAGGTTGCCAGTGCTTAAGGAAGCACATGCCAGTGTTTTTCCTACTAAACAAAATTTTCTATTAAGGTAAATTGACTGTCCTTGTTGCTTTGATAAATAAAGCCTATTTTGAATCAAGTGTGTAAAGCAGTATTACTTGTTTTGAAATTTCAAAGTTGAGAAATTGTGTTGTAGTAAATTTTCAAATCAAAGAATTCATGCTCATTTAGCAGTATATTTTATAGCTGTTACTTCAAAGTTAAGTTTTTTCCGATTTACAGTTTATTTTCCAAATTTTGTGGATCCTCTGATATAGTAAGCAACTAAAAATGAGTGAGATCTCCGTTCCACCATAGCTCTGATGGTGGCTTGTCAGTGTTTCCGTCCTTCACGAAGCAGACCAGCATATTCTAAAACTGCTGTGGCCATCCTTTATTCATGCTGAGCATTACTTTTGTCGGTCCTTTATTTCTGCCTCACTCTAAATTAACCTGACCATGTAGGAAAAGTTAGATGGTAATCCCGTCTTCCTCATGGATCTAGTGATGTATGTGCCTTTTTAGTCGCTCAGTCATGTCCAACTCTTTGTGACCCCATGGACTATATAGCCTGCCAGGCTCCTCTGTCCATGGGATTTTTCAGGCAAGAATACTGGAGTGGGTTGCTGTTTCCTTCAGGGGTCTTCCTGACCCAGGGATCAAACCTGCGTCTCCTGCATTGATTGGCAGGTGGATTCTTTACCACCGGGCCACCAGGAAGCACTGATACTCACATATATAGAAGCCACTTACTGTTGACATGGTACAGCCCTGAAGACAAAATATTTGACTCTAATTTACTATATATTTATTTCCTGATAGAAAGTCAGATTCTTTCCCTTACAGATTCTGGCTGATTTAACATGCAATTATCTTTTTTAACTTTTCTATTGAGCAGATTTGCTTTCTCTAACAAATTTCTTAATAGCGTGCTGTGTAAAGAAAGAAAGAAAGAAAGGAATATTTTCTGATTATTAAAACACTGGTTTGTCAAAGAAAGCGTAAAAATAAAAGTAATTTTTTAATCAAAGGTGTGACTATTTTTGTTAAGGACACAATGTTCTATATTTCAGCAACTGTGCAACTTCTCACCACTAATAATTTCTCAGATATCAGTTTCTACTCTGAGGAGAATAACTGTTTTAGTGGCTTATATTTAACTATTTAGAGCCAAAATTAATGGGAAGTTAAACTGTTAAAATCAATTTTAATAAAAAAATATACCTTCTCATGTTTCAAACCAGAACTATCTCATCAAACTTTCTGCAGCGATGCACGTAATCTGTGTCTGAGCTGTCCAGGGATGTAACCATACATGGATGTTAAACAGCTTGAATTGTAATTAGTGTAGCTCAGGAACTGAATCTTTGATTTTACTTCTCTTTAGTTCCAGTATAAGTTACCACATGCGGTGAGTGACTACCATATTGCACAACTCAGGTCTAAATCTATGAATCAGAATAGTGTTTGTCCTCATACCATTGTGATCATAGATATGCTTAATATATATCTTTAATTAAAATGCTTCCAAATTGAGATATTTTCCCCTTATTTGATAAAATTTTCTAATTGTAGATACGAAATGATGGTTTTTAAGTTCTACTTGATTGCTTGGAAATTCACTATCAGTCTTTTTACTCTGTAGGAAGAAGACCGAAAGCTGTTGATTGGATTCTTAGAAGATGTAATGACCTTGCTTTCATTATCTCATGCTCCTCTTGATAGCCTGAAAGCTTCTTTTGTGGAACTGGGGTAAAAATAATAGCTTATAGTTTTTGAAAGCTATAGAAAGTTTTAAAATTGGTTTTATAGACTGCATATTTTTAGTCTAAATAAAGATTAGTATGCACACCAAACTTCTTGATTTTTTACTTAGATTTTTTGTTCTTTTTTTTGTTTATTTTAATATTTTGTAATCAATACATTATAATAAAAGAGTGAGGTGTGAAGGATACAGATATGTCTTCGTTGAAGCAGCTGGAGGCATAAAATCAAGTACAAATTCAAAAAAAATTCAGTGGCCCCAGACTGAAAAAGGAATCCCAGTGAAAGCCAGATCCCTGGGCTCCCTTTTCCATTCCAGTTGATTTGCCTGGTTTACCACACAGTTGCACTCATCTCACTAGCAAAGTAATGCTCAAAATTCTCCAAGCCAGGCTTCAACAGTACATGAACCATGAACTTCCAGATGTTCAAGCTGGATATAGAAAAGGCAGAGGAACCAGAGATCAAATTGCCAACATCCACTGGATCATTGAAAAAGCAAAAAAGTTCCAGAAAAATATCTACTTCTGCTTTATTGACTATGCTAAAGCCTTTGACTGTTTACTTCTGCCTTACTGACTATGCTAAAGCCTTTGACTGTGTGGATCACAACAAACTGTGGAAAATTCTTCAAGAGATGGGAATACCAGACCACCTGACCTGCCTCCTGAGAAGTCTGTACGAAGGTCAAGAAGCAACAGTTAGAACTGGACATGGAACAACAGACTGGTTCCAAATAGGAAAAGGAATACGTCAAGGCTGAATATTGTCACCCTGCTTATTTAACTTCCATGCAGAGTACAGCATGAGAAACACTGGGCTAGATGAAACACAAGCTAGAATCAAGATTTCCAGGAGAAATGTCAGTAACCTCAGATATGCAGATGACACCACCCTTACGGCAGAAAGCGAAGAACTAAAGAGCCTCTTAATGAAAGTAAAAGAGAAGAGTGAAAAAGTTGTCTTAAAACTCAGCATTCAGAAAACTATGATCATGGCATCTGGTCCCATGACTTTATGGCAAATAGATGGGGAAACAGTGGAAACAGTGACAGACTATTTTGGGGGGCTCCAAAATCACTGCAGATGTTGACTGCAGCCATGAAATTAAATGATGCCTGCTCCTTGGAAGAAAAGTTTGACCAACCTAGACAGCATATTAAAAAGCAGAGATATTACTTTGCCAACAAAAGTTCATCTAGTCAAAGCTATGGTTTTTCCAGTAGTCATGTATGTATTTGAGAGTTGGACCATAAAGAAAGCTGAGCGCCGAAGAATTGATGCTTTTGAACTGTGGTATTGGAAAAGACTCTTGAGAGTCCCTTGGACTACAAAGAGATCCAAGAAGTCCATCCTAAAGGAAATCAGTCCTGAATATTCATTGAAAGGACTGGTGCTGAAGCTGAAACTCCAATACTTTGGCCACCTGATGTGAAGAACTGACTCATTTGAAGAGTCCCTGATGCTGGGAAAGATTGAAGGCAAGAGGAGAAGGGGACGACAGAGGATAAGATGGTTGGATGGCATCACCGACTTAAATGGACATGAGTTTGAGTAAGCTCTGGGAATTGGTGATGAACAGGGAGGCCTGGCATGCTGCAGTCCATGGGGTCATAAAGAATTGGACACAACTGAGTGACCAAACTGAACTGAACTGAAATCATAATCACGTCATCTAGCTGCTTAAGTAGTTTCTTCTCATTCTTTACTAAAAACAGGTTTATGTATTTATTAATGACACTGTCTTCACACCCAACTTAACCCTTCCATATGGTGGTTTGAGTTATCCTTGATTTGGATTATCCTAACTGATCCTGTACCAACCATATGGCATATATAGGACAGTATTGTTTCCCCATTGTTTATAGATGTCAGAAATTAAGACTCACTAAGGAAAATTCTGAAAGAGATGGGAATACCAGACCACCTGACCTGCCTCTTGAGAAACCTGTGTGCAGGTCAGGAAGCAACAGTTAGAACTGGACATGGAACAACAGACTGGTTCCCAATAGGAAAAGGAGTACGTCAAGGCTGTATATCGTCACCCTGCTTATTTAACGTATATGCAGAGTACATCATGAGAAACGCTGGGCTGGATGAAGCACAAGCTGGAATCAAGATTGCCGGGAGAAATATCAATAGCCTCAGATATGCAGATGACACCACCCTTATGGCAGAGAATGAAGAGGAACTAAAAAGCCTCTTGATGAAAGTGAAAGAGGAGAGTGAAAAAGTTGGCTTAAAGCTCAAGATTCAGAAAACTAAGATCATGGCATCTGGTCCCGTCACCTCATGGGAAATAGATGGGGAGACAGTGGAATCAGTGTCAGACTTTATTTTTTGGGGCTCCAAAATCACTGCAGATGGTGACTGCAGTCATGAAATTAAAAGACGCTTACTCCTTGGAAGGAAAGTTATGACCAACCTAGACAGCATATTAAAAAGCAGAGAGATTACTTTGCCAACAAAGGTCCATCTGGTCAAGGCTATGGTTTTTCCAGTGGTCATGTATGGATGTGAGAGTTGGACTGTGAAGAAAGCTGAGCGCCGAAGAATTGATGCTTTTGAACTGTGGTGTTGGAGACTCTTGAGAGTCCCTTGGACTGCAAGGAGATCCAACCAGTCCATCCTAAAGGAGATCAGTCCTGGGTGTTCATTGGACGGACTAATGCTGAAGCTGAAACTCCAATACTTTGGCCACCTCGTGTGAAGAGTTGACTCATTGGAAAAGACCCTGATGCTGAGAGGGATTGGGAGCAGGAGGAGAAGGGGATGACAGAAGATGAGATGGCTGGATGGCATCACCAACTCGATGGGCATGAGTTTGAGTGAACTCCGGGAGTTGGTGATAGACAGGGAGAACTGGTGTGCTGCGATTCATGGGGTCGCAAAGAGTCAGACACGACTGAGCGACTGAACTGAACTGAACTGAAGGTTACAACTTACCCATCTGACTCTTAGTCCAGTGTTTGTTCTCATAAGTAGTAAATTTTATTTTTTTTTATAATTTTAACTTTTATACTATCAAAGAGTTGAAATGTCTATCATCTTTGCACATGCTTAGAGAAACTTAGTTCATGAATATGCTAAAAGTCTGTAGCTGTATAAGGTGACTTCCCTTTTTTCAAGAATCTTAGACATAGCCTATTAAACCATAGAAAGTAATTCTATATGTTTTGCCAATATTTTTGTCATTAGTATTCCTCAGAAAGATAGAGTTTTTCAGTACCCCAGTAAGACACTGTGGCTCTCTTTTAGCATTGATTTTTTTTCCTTGCAGTGCAAACCCAGCTTACCATGAGTTACTGCTAACTGTGCTATGGTATGGCGTTGTCCACACGTCAGCACTCGTGAGGTGTACTGCTGCTAGAATGTTCGAGGTATGTAAACAAATACTTCTGTGTTTTTCAGATCATAATGATTTTCTTTGGAAGAGGGAGAGGGAATATTTTTTTGAAGGGAGGGAGCTTTTCGTACTGTGTTACATTGATGTATATTTTGTTTCATTGAATAGTATCTAGTTGTGTACTGTGAGATGGGGCAGAAATTTAATTTTGGAATATTTCGGATTGTTCTTTAGCCTTATTGGTTCCTTGAATGTTGTTATATTATCATTTCCTCTTCTCAAATTTCTTTTAAATCTGATTTATTTTCATCCTATGTAAATCTTCTTGGCTATACTTTTCTATTTACTGAGGCAAATGGCTATTAAAACAAACTAAAACAGTAGAGGGTGTTTATAAAGTTGTAAAATATAGTTGGACTCATGAGTAAAATATACTTTGATTCAGTCATTGCAATTATGGAAATATTTATTGATTACTCCTACTTTGTTATTTCCTCACATATCATATCTGGAATAACAACATCTCTATACTTTAACTGCCCATAGACTTAAAAGAGAGAAGACACTTCGTATAATTTAACTAGATTTTCTTAAATTGCCACCTACCCAAGTTTGGTATGAAAATTGGAATACCTGCCTATCTTTTTTATCCTTCACAAAGGAAATTGTGTCAGCCTAGTTTATGTATGTATGTTTTTAGAACTTGAATTTGAACACTAAACTTGGCTTTGAATGTTTTACTATCCTTGAGTCTTATCACAGAACCTTCCTGCCTGGGTTCAGCATCTGTCTCTGCCACTTCATGCCGGGCTCAAGCTTCTCTGGCCTTGGTTTTCTCATCTGTAAAGTGAAGATAATAAGTATCCATCTCAGAGGATGTTTTGTTAATATTAAATGAGTTAATACTTGTAAAAGCCTTAAGACAGTGTCTGACACATAATTAAAAGAACTTAATAAATGTTAACTATTATTATGATGGTTGTTTTTTAAATCTATGCCATTACTTCGCAAGATAATATAATAGTTTAAGAAAAGTGCATTTGTTCAAGCTAAAACTGTCCCTATTGTGTGTTTCATTCTTAAAATATCTTAAAGTATTTATTTTCATAGGAAGAATGAGATAATTCAATTCTTCCTACATTTCAGAATTTTTAGATAATTTAAGGTAAATTGCAGTCAAAGAGTTAGAGCACTGATAGATTTTAAAACATATATCATCTAAAACTTCTAAGTTTTTTGTGGTATCTAAAGAAAATTCCATTCTTATCAGAAGATTGAAAATCCTCTGTCCATGTTATTCCACAGTTGTACAGATTTGATCCAAAAAACCAATCACGTGTTCTTTGTCAAGACAAATGCCAAATTAAAAATTTAGTTAGAGGCCTAGCATAATAAGTTCCTTTTAGGTACAAATAGTTTTTGATTATTCAGTATGCTGAAAAGTTATTACCATGAAAGAAGAAAGTCTTTCTTTAGCCTCCTCTTTCCCCCAAAAGAAAAGAGCATCATATTTCTTTAATATACTTTCTTCATAGAATTGTATTCTAAGACCATAAGAGCGATTTCTTTGTCTTAAACCATTGATTTCTAACGTGTCTATAGATACTGATGAAGCATACCATATAAATGAAAACAGTTCAAAGACAGTGAGGTCTCCTCCCTTTTCACTTGTTGTATTTTCCTGCCTTATTTCTCACGTGTGGCTTTTGTCTGGCTTTGGTTTCTGTGTCTGCTGTCAGTGCTGGTTGGAAACTATACTTACGCTTAAGCGGTCTTCAGTGTTCTCAGGTGGATTATGAATTTCTGAGTCTTAATTTGAGAGACTTATTTCAGTATTTTTTCAAATTCATTTATGATAAAAGTAGTTTTACTGAGCATGCCAGTAAAAGTCATCAGGAAAAATTAAAATTATTTTTGTCAATGAGCCTTATTTTAAACAAAATTATATTAAAAGATTAATTATTTAAGATTTCTTTTGATACTAATACATTATAATTTACAATTATGCTTGCTTCCCCTGCCACCCAAAAATGACTTAATTCAAAATAAAAATGTAAAAAAGGGACACTAAAATTCTTTAAGTTTTTAATGTCAGAACAGAAACTATTGATAAGAAAGTGAGAAATGGATATATCGGGAACTTGATATTGGATACTTAGTGAAATTGAACACTAAATTTAGCTCTGAGTTTTCAGACAGCAGGACAAAAAGGGGAAATCCAGTCACTGTTAAATAAGAGAAAGTATATTCTTGATGTAACAAAATAGTATTGAAGTTGATTTATAAAAGAGACTCTCGTGTGACTTCTAGCGTGTCATAGTGGATTTCCCAAAAGATGCAGAAAAGAAGCTTCATATAATGATTTCTTACATCAGTCATAAGGAAATAAAGCAAGTGATATTAAGACCACAACTCAAAGAAGGCATGGGCTTTTAAAGACCAGTGAATGAGTCCATTTTAAGGCTTTTTGGCTGGCACAATATAAACCTTTCAAAATGTACTTTAATGATTCAAATCTAAGCTATTTTGTTTATAAAATGATACAGAGAAGAGAGTTTTATTTAACAGCCCAACTCTTTGTGACCCCGTGACTGTAGCCGGCCAGGCTCCTCTGTCCATGGGATTTCCCAGGCAAGAGTACTGGAGTGGGTTGCCATTCCCTTCTCTAGGAGATCTTCCTGACCCAGGGATTGAACCCCCGTCTCCTGTATTGCAGGCAGATTCTTTACTATCTGAGCCACCAGGGATGCCCTTTTATTTATAAAATGATACAGAGAAGAAAGTTTTATTTAACAGTATTTTAATTTCTTCCCCCTATTTCTTTCTACCTGACATCCGTAATGCTTTTAAAGTAGTAACAGAAATTCTTTTGTCATTTTATTCCTGTCTAAATTATCCATGGTTCTGTTGAAATAAAAATTATTTCAGAATACTGAAGCAGATTCAAAAGTACCTGTTGGGTTTTTGTTACGAAAAATCCCATAACATCTGTCATCTTCTTGGAGGACTAGTTCCCTTACAAAGCGAAGAGATTAGTTAGCATTTAAGATTAATAATTTGTATTTACATTCTGAAATGGAGATTATAGGATTAGGGTGTTACCCTTCTCTGTTGAAGCTCATAAAATGCTGTGATTTCTATAAAAACAAAATGCATATAGCTCAATATTGTCCTCTTGTTCTGCGATTTAGGGTTGGCTGCTAAAAAATTGTTTTATGATTAGATTATAGAAATAGGTCTAATTGTGGTTATCATATTGTTTTTTAATTTGAACTTTTAGAGAAATGAGCTATTTGTAAGCATTAACTCCTTGGACCAACCAGAAACAGTTTTTAATTAATAATTTCTTTTTCTAAATGTATCACGAATCTTACATCCTTTGAGTCATCATAATAATTCCGCTTGCATTTCTTGAATGCCTAGCCTTTGTCAGACACAGTGTTTAAGTGTATTATGTGCAGTTAGTAGTGCAGTGATCCTTAGAGGTAGATGATAGTCACCATTTTCAGATGAGAAAACTGGGTTTCAAGGGATGGTGTAATATATGTGGGGCCATGTGCCTAGCAAGTGGAGAGCTAGAGTCTGAACCCAGCTCTGAGGCCCACATGAAATAACTGCTTTGCACTAGGCTGTCTTAGGTCTCTGTACCTCAAGAAAGAAAGCTCTGTGATGTAAAAGACTGGGAATTTTTGTATGTGATTTTTAAATTTACGTGCTTTAGAACAGTCAAAAGCAATTTAGTGGTGGCTGCTAGCCGTCTGAGTTTGGTTTAAAGACAGTCCAGTTTATACCTTGTTGGTCAAAACAAAATTATACCAGATTTATTTTAAAAATTTAACCATAGAACCCAGTATGTCATCTTTTTGGCTTCTTTAAAAACATAATAATAGTAAAGAATAAATCTGTATTTTAAATTGCCTTTTAACTGAATATGGAAATTGTGTAGACTGTGTGACCAAAAGGACAAATTGCCCTTGAATTGGTGACGAGCTGTTTTCGGGGCCGCTAGGCTGTGGAAGCTTTACTTTCCTCCTGAGCGTTCTCTGCCTTTTTTAAGCGCTCCAGTAGTAATGTTGGCTTAGCTTCTAATTTTGGTTTTGCTTTTGTGTTTTCTCTCTCTTGGTTGCTCCTTTACTCTCCCCGTGGCACTGTTGTTTGTTCTTTCCATGCACCACCTGTGAATACCCCCTGCGCTGACCAATCAGCTGTTGGTGAAGGGGGTGAATGAAAGTCTGGTAGCTCAGAGGGTTGTTCCTGCTCTCATAACTCTCTCCAGTGACCCCGAAATGTAAGTGTCGTCCTTGCCTTTTACCTTCAGCACCCCTTTCAAAACGTGCCTGTAAAGAAATAACCATCAGCTTTTAAATTCATTGAAGAGTAGGTTTAACTCTTTAAAATAATATGGGATTATGCTTACTTGATTTTAAACTACTATACTACTATTGATGTACAGGTTTTTGTTTTTGTTTTTTAAGTCAAACTTCACAGTAAACCTGATGACAAGGCCCATATATTGAAAGGGTTATTAGTAGTATTGGTCCTCAATAAACATCTCCAAAACTTAAAACATGCTGATGGACTATTTCTTCCAAGCCAAGAAGGGATGCTTTGCTAACCTCACTAATATGTTGTTACCAGTAAGTATAGTGGCATGAACCAGAGGCTTAACGTTTTAATGTCTCGTGTGGGTGACTAAACCAAGAAAGGCCAGTGAGTCTGCCTGCCCATCCTCAGTCACAGCTAACCCAGTTCTCATTCCAGTTTACCAAACCATTTTTTATTGCATGTTGACTGGTTTACAGCTGACTCTTCGAGGCATGAGTGAAGCGTTAGTTGACAAGCGGGTTGCTCCGGCCCTTGTTACCTTGTCCAGTGATCCTGAATTGTGAGTTCCACAGACTGCGAACTTAAGTTATCCTGTCTGTCTTTTTGAGCATTCTTCTTGGTCTGCTTTTTTTTAAATTTAATTTGTCATTGCTAGCGACTAATACAGTATATTTACCTTGTACTTACCTTGATATATACTTTAATAATAACCAGTTTTTCGTCTCAAAGAAAATGTCAGTTTTTTTCTTCTTTAATTCTAACAGCTCTGTCAGGATTGCTACAATTCCAGCCTTTGGCACGATTATGGAAACAGTTATTCAAAGAGAGGTAGGAAATGAGTGGAATTTATTTAATCTGTATGTACTGCTGAGGTGATGAAAGCACATGACCATACACATACCCTGTGGTTGGGGGCAGGGAAGATATACATTCATTATATTTCTTAGTTAATTATGGGCCAGAGGGGATCTCAGTATTTGAAAATATGATAGCCTACCAAAAGTATCTTTTCACATGCTAAGGCTGTCTCTGGTCTTTCTTCTCAATTAGAAACTTCAATATAAGCCAGCTCTCAGATGTTCTATTCTGAGCTGGTCTGGATACTGCAGTATTGAATAATCCTTCACAGCAGGTATAGTTTCACAGACTTCTCTTATTCAGTAGACTTCTGGATAGTCTGCATAAATTCCCAATTGTCAGTACGTGCAGATTTGAAGGGAACATGTTTCCTCAGTTTCGGGAATGGAGGCTAGAAGTACCTATGTTCTTGTAACTATCATTCATATCAGACCGCAAGTCATGTCATGGACTGGTGTCATCTTTTTGCAGTCCACTTCACTGGGACAACCTTCTGTCATGCCTGCTTCAGGAGATTACCAAAGTCTTCCTCCCTCAAAGTTTATTTTGATTCAGAAACTTGTGTGATCTAAAATTTGTTCAGATCTGTCTGCACCATTTCCTATTAGACACTTATCAAAATTAGTATCAGAATGTTATTCTCCATTATTAGATTGGACATGTCCTTGCACAATGAAAAAATGCTGTACATTAGAAAATCAATTATTTGTGGACATATTAGCCACTTAAATGGAAAACAAGATTTTCCATCTCATAGACATTTCACACACACACACAAAATTATATATATATATATATATACATATATATATATATATAGACTGTTTTGTAAAATTTTTGTCATAGAGTTCTTTTATAACAAAAAACTAAACAACTTTGTTAGTTGTGGGAAAAAGTGTTTTCTGTTTTTTCACTTACATGTATATATATATATATATTTCACTGGTGGAGCAAAATAAAAAAATACATCATTCTGCAAAGCTTGCAGTCTTGGCAGAATTTCAACATGTTCTTAATCCCAAAATAAAAACTTCTTTTAGGGAAATATGAGTAATATATAAGTCACTAGTGACTCATTGCTTTCAGAAGGTGAATAAGTGGGTAACTTACACTGTGATCTGTTTTAAGAATTCTAACTTAGACACAAAATCATCATACATTTATCTTTTTCCCTAAATATTGTGGGATCTTTTCTACAGTTTTTCAGGGAATATTTGTGTTTAAAAAAAAAAATGAGTTGGCAAACATAAAAATGTAGGCTCTTTTCTGAGCTGAAAGACTAAAGAAGTACTTAATTTCAAACTTCAAGTCATGTTGATCTAAGTCATTTGAATCCAGTGATGCAAACCATGTTTAGTGTGTATCTTTCTCTCAATTTGATTATATAATATTCAATTTTAAGTTGCTGGAAAGAGTGAAAATGCAGTTGGCTTCTTTCCTGGAAGACCCTCAATATCAAGACCAATATTCTCTGCATACAGAGATCATAAAAACATTTGGTAGAGTTGGGCCTAATGCAGAACCACGGTTCCGAGATGAGTGTAAGTTGCATTTTTTTAACTCTTGTTTTCCTGAATTGACATGCAAGAGCAAAACCTTAAGTTTCTCTGTGGATATGTCATGTGTTAAAGCCTTTTCTGCACTTTGTCTTTCATACACTGAAAGCTGAAAGTGAAGCAAGTTTCTTATTGGGGATTGATCACTGTTGCTATTACTCAGTGGTTTCTTATACTGTATCCTGTAGATGAAAAGTAACTCGTAAATAATTTCAAGTTATTTTTAGAACAGTTATTAATAACTTAATTTCAAAATAACTGTGCTCCTTATATTTAGAGATTATTATTTAATTCTTATTTCTAAGGAAATTTATATGTGTTTCTAGACATGTTATGAAAGATGTACATTTTTCTTCCACTTAGCATGCCATTTGACAATTTTGTTTTAAGTCACAGGTTGTCAATCTGCTAAATAATCTGCATAATGATCTGCTAAAGCATTTTCTCCGGTTTCTGTAGTGTCACTTCTACAGTGAGCCTCAACCTTTATGATAACAATTTCTGAGTGGTATCAAAGCATCCAGTAATTATTTCACCAAAAGCATGACAGTTATCACAGCTACATCTTAGTCCTTTTATTTTTAGCCATTTGACATGCTCTTGAAAAGATCACAGGCTTGGTTTCCTAAGTCAGTTTATAAGAATTATCACCAAAAATATTGTCAGGATTTGGACTGCAGTGTCCAAAAGGGCATGAACACTTATGGAGCTACAAAAACACAATCACAAGATTATTTCTCAATGGGAAATAGTGTTGGTAACATGAGGAGGAAATACTAATATTTCACATATTTCACAATTAGTTAACAGAAAAAGGTTTAGTATTTTAGTATTTTAGCAGGGTTAGTTCCTCATCGTAGTAACATCGGATTTACAGATGACCCCCTGCAAGAGCTTTGACTAACTTTCTTGACTAACTTAATTGCCCTGAAGCAGGTCTTGGCTATTGAATCAAGGAATAGGCTAAATAGTGGACCTTTGGTGGGTGCCACATTGTTGAGAACATAATCGAACCTTTTTATGTATATTCAAGAGAAAGACTGACACATTACATAGAAAAAAGAAATTTTCTTTTCACAGTAATCCTAAAATAACAAGGTTCGGCTAGAGAAAGGATTGAGAATAGCAGTTTCCAGTGCTTGAATGGGTGTGGTGACCGTCGACCCTGAGGCCTCCTACAGGCTAACTGTATACTGATCGACAAGTATGTTTCATACAGTCTGCCTGCACATTCTGGCACTAGAATAGCAGTTTCCAGTGCTTGAATGGGTGTAGTGACCACTGTCCCTGAAGCTTCCTACAGGCTAACTGTATACTGATCGACAAGTATGTTTCATACAGTCTGCCTTCACATTCTGGCACTAGAATAGCAGTTTCCAGTGCTTGAATGGGTGTAGTGACCACTGTCTCTGAAGCTTCCTACAGGTTAACTGTATTGATTGACAAGTATATTTTATACAGTTCCTTCACATTCTGGCACTAGACCTTTTTTCTTTTTTTAAGACAAAAAAAAATTTTTTTTTTCTTTTGTATTTACTACTCAGTCAGTTGGTTTCTCTTTTGCTTTAAAACTTTACCCCAGGGAACTTAATGTCCTGCATTAATCAGATGAATGGTAGACAAAGTAGAAGCCATGTTGACAAGGATGCTCTATTGTTATCTCTCTGTATTTATAGACAATTACTGTTAGGAATTAGAGAAAGATCAGAGAATTGCAGGGTAGTAAGTGCTGTTTCTTGGAGTGATATTTTTGCACTTTTCCCCCTCTATTTCTTAGAGAATAGAAGACATCAGTTCATCCAGTGGCACTTTTTCTTTCCCAACTCTTAGTTGTCACAGGACCTTTAGGTTTTGATTTTTATCTCAGGGGCCGTTTGGTTTTTTCAGTGAGTGAGTGAAGTCGCTCAGTCGTGTCCAACTCTTTGCAACCCTATGGGCTGTAGCCTGCCAGCTCCTCCATCCATGGGATTTTCCAGGCAAGAATACCTGAGTGGGTTGCCATTTCCTTCTCCAGAGGATCTTCCAGACCCAGAGAAAGAATTCAGGTGTCCCACATTGCGGGCAGACTCTTTACTGTCTGAGCCAGCAGGGAATATTTTTCAGACTATGATACAATTTTGTTTGTTTTACACTTTTTTAACTTTATAAGGCTCTCTGAAAATGTTCAGTCATACTTCAGAGATTTTCTAACATAGCAGTCTTATGTTTCAAATCAGTTTTGTGTTTTTTTTTAAGTTCCTTATTTTAGATCTCAACCCTTTTATAAAAAGAGAGGACATGATTCCCTTCATTTTTGCTATTGGATCTACCCCAGAATATATTTTGGAACTTTACTAAAATCTTTTTTTTTTAAGTTTCCTATTGATTTATCTTTACTTTGTTTGCAGTTTTGAATCTTTAAGTGAAAGGCTCCAGAAGTGGCCTTATGTTGTGTGTTTCCTATTTTCCTTGCCCACTGAAGTTCATTTGTAGAAATACTCACATTTGGGTTATTAAATCTTTTAACCATTTATCTCCATCTGAGGGGTTAACAGTTGAGTGAATTAATTGGTACAGATGTGGTAACCCAGGACAGTACTTATATAATGAAATGTTGAATTCTGTAATAAATGTCTATCTTCTGAGATTTAGGAAGATCCTAAATGATTGCTGTTAACTGTCAGTAGACTAGACTTTAAAGAAACTTATTTAGGTTTGTTTTCTAGATGAGCAGTGTTAAGCGGATATTGTGTAGTGTGGTTGTTGAGTTTCTGAGAAAAACACTGAGGAAAGGATTTAATCATTTACCCTGGCGCCATTTCTCCAAGGAACCTTGGTTTTAGTGGGAAATGGTATTTAGAGAACATGATCTTAGGCAGTAGGGGTGCTCAGTGTTACTTAAGTGGTTATTGTTTCTTGGGCCATCACTTTTATTTTAATAGTGTGTTGTCTGTATTTTTGAAATTTTATGCTATTCATTGAGATATCAGATATTGAGCCCATTGAGTGACTTGAAAACTCAGCCATCTGGGCTATTTGACATTGGTCTTTGCTATGAACTTGAGAAACTAAAGCCATAATAATATTTTCATGAAATAGTGAAATAATTTTATATTGAAAGAGAATAAGTATACTGTATTTATCTTTTAATAGCAACAGTAATACCTGGTTTATATAAACTTTATAATAATAACCCAAGAGGTAGGTTGTTTACATTTATTTATTTGGTTTTCATTTTTCAGATTGTGAAACTGAATTACAGTGAAGCCAAATGACCTGTGTACATCCTCACAATTAGGTTATAATGGCATGCTGTAATCTATTTCTCCCAAATTCTGGATCACTGTTTATTCTGAAAAAAACACGCTTTCTTCCCTAGTAAGAAAAAGCAAGTATAGGATATGGGTGATCTTTTGAAATCATCCAAAATTAAAATAAAATTTTATAAAATAAAATACTATTTTTTAAAATGGATAAAGCATATTTTAGGTTAAAATTAATAATTTATTTTTCTCTTTTCAGTTGTTATACCGCATCTGCATAAGTTAGCCTTGGTGAACAACTTACAAATTGTGGATTCTAAAAGACTGGATATTGCCACCCATCTCTTTGAAGCCTACAGTGCACTTTCCTGTTGCTGTATCCTTGCTTTATTATGTGTATCTACATTTAAGGATCAGTTTTGCAGTGAACCTCAGTTGTTAAAGATTGAGAAGTAGAATTTTTTCTTCAGTTCAGCTAAGAAGTAGAGAAGAAGTTTAAAACTTTGAGTTGACTTGCCCCACTCTGCATTCTAGCCATCCCTTAATTTTAAAAGGTAACTTGATAACTATTCTTATATGTTCTATAGTTTTGAAAACACTGACTAAAATTTTATCTCTGTTAATCAGCAGTATGACTTAAGCCACAAATGAGCTACAGCTGAGGCTTCTCTGTTAATCCAAAGGAAGCCTTGTCTGTGTCCTGGCATTCACTTTTAGTGAATATTTAACCACCTTTATGATCCTAGGAATATCTCTTGGAGACATATCACTCATTGAAAAAAAATATGGGGCCACCCAGGTTAATCATTTGCATTGATAGCAGAACTGGAGGAAAGCTCAGAGATCATGGAACCCATGTCACTTACTACTTTCTATAAATGATTAAACTAAAACTTGAAGACATTAGTGACTTCTCTTTTTTAATAGTTAAAAGCAAAATTGTGACTACAACAATAACTTTAGCTATCCTGTTAAATGTTCTCTTTACTATCCTAGACCTAGTAAAATAAAACTAAGAAATAAAAATGAAATAAAACTAAGAAGAAAGTAAAGATAATGATGGAGAGAGCGAACTCCAGCTTTCAGGCTTTCCCATTAAAAGCAGAATAGCCCTGGAAAGGGGAAATAAGAGATTGAAAAAGGAGTGAACACTAAACAGTTGAATAGAACTGTGAAAGTATGTGCCACACAACATAATCAGAGAATTATGGTTGGGACAGAAAAAAATGATGGTAGGGACAGTAGAAATGTACAACCATGTGTTAAGAAGCTGCTTGTCCTTTTCAAAATGTTAAAACTTGAAGCTTGATGCATGGTTGAGAGCATTTCATTTTGGGACTCTACTGCAAATTGCCTAGTCATGTGGCTGATATAAGCTACTCTTTTATAGTATAGATTATATAATGGGCAGAGATACCATATTTTGATAATTTTGCTTCAACTAACTATAGATTTTCTATAAGTTTAATTCCAGTAAAAGCAGAACTTACTATCATTCCTACTTTATCTAGTTGGCATTTTCAACTTAGAGAAGATAGAGGAAGCAAAAAGAGGAAGTGATAATTGTGAACTCACAAGGAAGGACTCGTTAGTCATGGAGAAGTGACAGGACCCGTACAAGACAGTGATAATGGCATGTCAGAGTGCGGCATACCAAAGACAGAAAACATGTACATGTTTATGCTAAACTCTGTGAAAGTAAATGTTTACAAACTTAAGTGAACAGTTAGGTCTAATTTTTTATTTTCTTAGCGTTTCAAAAGGAATATGCCTCAAAGAAAATGAGAAAGTCAAAAAAAGAAAGATCAAAAATTTTAGCTCTGTAACCCTAATTTTCCAAGTGGACACGGCAGTGGTTTCTGAAAAGCACAGGCGTCTGTATGGGAGTGTTACTGTATATTTAGGTATGTGCAGAATACTACTGTAGAGAGAATGAGGTGAAAAGTCTTTATACCAGCACAGCAAGGGGAAGACTCACCTTAACAGCAGACCCTCTACTAGTAGTTCCATCTGAGTCAGAACTTGTACTTGTGTCAACAGGGTAGTTATGGCCACTAAGAAAAGCACCTTGTCTATGTCTGTCCTGCTGTTCCATTGCATTCTGAATTGATAGAACACAACATCTTATTTTAATAGGTTTGGCAAGGTGTTACATCAAGAAATGATGTTTAATATAAAGTTTGAAGGAGTCTTAAAATATTTGACTTGGAAAAGAAATGGTTTAGGGATGAAAAGATTATTCGAAAATTATTTTAAAGGCTGTTATGTAGGAAAAAACCTAGGCCCATTTGTGTAACTAAGGTGCAGAGCAAACACTGACAAGCAGCGAGAGCTGTGGTCTGAGAAGAGCTTTCTGAGTTCTCTAAAAGTACAGTGACCTCTTCTATGAAACTAAACATCCTGTCACTAGTAGGCAGTCAGAGGCCTTATGACCATCATTCATGGATGAGGTAGAGGTGGTTTCTAACATCAGATAGGACTAAATGATCTGTAAGTTTCCAAATCCTAAGAAGGACTGTGGGATTTCATAGGGAAGAGGACCAAACAGTGAGTAGGTAGAGAGGAGGATTTATTCCTCTCTCCCTTAAAAATAACTGAATTTTCAAGGCAGTAGTTATATGGATTTTTTTACTTAATAAAGTTTATTATAATTTAGTTCAGAAAAATCAGCTCATCTTTATAGGGGAAGTCATTTACTGGCACTTATCACTTTAATATTAATATGGTATAATATTAAATAAGAACTATTTAAATGGCTCATAACTATGATAGGTAAGAAAGTGTCATTAAGTAATGTGAATGAACAGGGTGAATTGTTTTCTTGATAAATGCATCTGCTTTCCTAACTCCTTTCAATGTCATATAATCAACTAAAACTCATATGACTAAGAAATATAGGTAGTACTAAACTTACTACAGCAAAACCTCTCTCGCCCAATTCAGTCAGGACCAGTATGGGTCAGTTTAACAGAATGGTTGAAGTAAGAAATCAAGAAAATGATACATGCCTAAGGTAACTTCTTTTAACTTAAAACACATAAATGTAACTTAATTTTACCAGTCTTTTGATGTAGTTAGGCATTTCTTTTGTGAGTCTGCTGATAGAGTTTTAAACATCAGCCTTCTTAGAATAATCACATTCGTAATATAATTGTCTATGAATTTCAGCTTAAGTTTATTTAAAGAGAATCCAGAAACATTTCTGATAGTGGATAGTGAATTTTTCTAGATTTTTGTATTTTTCTTTTTCATTTAATATGCATAATATTTTAAACAGCAATTTTTAAGCAACTGGACTTTCAACTTAATTGTCATGGAAATATTAATTTTCTTTTTATCCTCTTTTAAACATCCAATTAAATTTCATGATTTCATTTTCACCCTTATTATTTCATATGTCTATATACCATGTTATTAAGCTATGTGCTGTTACAATAATGAACACTTCTGACATGAAGATATTTATGACAATAAACACAGTTGACTGTTGACAAGTAACTAACCCAGCAGATGAGGATGGAGCTTTTGAGGGAAGCCTGTTGGCTCTACATGATCAGTATACCAGTTTGGTTTTTGTAAATGTCCTTAACTACCTTCTCTCAAGTCATTTCAGAAGATTTAATGGTTAATCACTTTTTACCTGGTCTCAGATGTTTACGAATCGACATGGAACATCTTTCTCCAGAGCACGAAGTAAGCTACTGTCATGATTAAGCCATTGTGATTATCAGTGCCGTGTTCCTGTGTTTTAATATCTCCTATACGTGTGTGCTAAGTCGCTTCAGTCATGTCCGACTCTTTGCAACCCCGTGGACTGCTGTAGCCCTCCAGGCTCCCCTGTCCATGGGATTCTCCAGGCAAGAACACTGGGGTGGGTTGCCGTGCCCACCTCCAGGGGGTCTTCCTGACCCCGGGATCCAGCCGTGTCTCCATGTCTCCTGCATTGGCAGGCGGTTTCTTTACTACTAGCACCACCTGGGAAGTTCATTATCTCCTATACAGACTTTCATTCCTCTTCATGTGAGGCCTGATTATGATATGCTGTGCTTAACTTTTTCAAATCTAGTTCAGTGTCATTTTACGGATTTATTAACTAGTGATGAGATCTTAAGCAGCTCCTTTTGCATCTCTCTGTTCAATTCTCTAAAGTAGGCATAACATACTGTCTAGAATTTAGCAAGTAAAGTATGTGAAATGCTTTTTATCTGTAAAATACTGTACATCTTAGTATTATCTTAGACCATCAGCTTTCTTAGAAGCAAAGTTTCTATTTTCTGTCTCCATTTCCTCATAACGCTTCTCATTCTGTTTATCTTCCTGTGTCCTCAGGACGGAAGACACAGTTTCCTTCCCTGTTTTATCATTTATTTCCTATTCTGTGTCATCAGTTTTTCTACCAGCTTTTCTTTAGCCTGTTACCATGTTTGACTCTCCCGTCCTAAACAAAACCAAACCAAACCAAAACCTTCCCGTTATCCCTTCCCCACACCTCTGTTTCCCTGCCAGGAGTCCACGCTCACTCTCGCCCTCACACGGCGTGCAGCGTCTCCACCGTCACGCCCAGCCAGCAAAGCTTCTGTCTCTGAGCTCACTGGCCATCACAGTGCTGTACTGAGCAGCCTTGCCAGAGTGCAGAGCCTTTTCCTCGTGTCTGTGTCAGGGCGCGGTGCTTTGGGACTGCCTTAGATTCGGCAGATAGAAAGTGGTATCTCATGATGGTTTTCATTGCATTTCCTTGATTGTTTTCAAACTTGGAATTCTTTATGTGCTTACTAACATCAAAGCCTTTTTAGGTTTTTTGCCCATTTTTCTCACTTTGGATTATATTTTTTCCTATTATTTCTTTGATGTTTGTTATATAATTGGAATACCAGTATTCTGTTCATTTTGTATTTTATGAATATCTTTTCCCTTTTTTTTTCATATTTTTGGCCTATTTGAACACTGATTTTTAATTTTAATAGATTGATTAAATCTTTCTGAGACATGATCTCCTATACTTTCTTCCTAAAATGTTTCAAATTGTATTTTTACAGTAAAATTCGCAATCCATCTAAAATTAGTTTTTATGTATGGTGTGAGGTAGTGCGTAAATTATGTTTTTTCTATACAGATGACCAACTGTCCCATTATTGTTTATGGAACAGTTCATTATGTCTATACTGACTGGCAGTGCCACTTCTGTCATATCTGATGTTTCCTTGTATGCCTGCGTCTGTTACTCGGGAGCATTCTTTTTCTGCTCATCTCCTTCTTGTTTATTATAACATTGATATGAACTGTATCATTGTGATGAACTGTCTTTATTACAGTCACTTGTTAAAAAGTCCTGAAATCTAACAGGCAGGTTCAGCATCCTGTCCTTTTTCTACAACTCTTCATGACCCTTATCATTTTTATGTAAATTTTAGCATTAAATGAGGTTCCAAGAATGATCTTGTTCAGATTCTGATGTTTAATTGATTCTATAAATCAATTGGGAGAGACATCAACTTCATAATTTTGAGTCTTCTATCTAGAACATGGGGCTTCCCAGAAGGCTCAGTGGTGAAAAAAAAAAAAATCCACCTGCCAATGCAAAAGGTGCAAGAGACACAGGTTCCGCCCCTGGGTCAGGAAGATACCCTGGAGGAGGAAATAGCAACCCGCTCTAGTAATGTCGAGAAAATTCCATGGACAATCCATGGGGTCAAAAATAGTCAGACACAACTTAGCAACTTAGCATGCACGCACGCATCCAGGACATACTGTATCTTACATTTATTTAGATCTCCTTTAATGTCTTTCAGTAAAGTTTTATAATTTCATTTGAAAAAAACTGTCACCTTATATTTATGATGTTATAATGCTAACTTTTTTTAGGATTATATGTTTTTTAACCCTTTGTTATCAGTGTTTAAAAATGTATATAACTTTTTATGTTGAATTTATGTCTGGCTAACCTGAGAAACTTTATTTTTAATTCTAATAATAAAATGTCTCTGGATTTTTTAAATAAGTTTCAAATGCAGGAAAGTCACCATTATTATAGTAAATAATATATTATTTTCTAATACTTTTACTGTATTTTTTCCTTTTCCTTACTCTAGGCTCTATATTGCTGTACCTTTTTACTTCTGATATTAATTTGTTTTTTGCTTTCTTTTTAAACTAGTTTTGTTAGGGGTTATGAATTTTATTAACCTTCTTAAATATTGAACTTTTGACTGTTGATTTTTCTCTGTTTTTTAGTTTGACTGCTATTTTCATCTTTATTTCCTTCTGCTTTCTTTAGGTTTGATTTTTTTTTTTTCCCCTGGTTTTTTCTAACTCCTTAAGGAGGAAGCTTGGATTTTTTACTTGTTAACTTTTCTTTTCTGATACATAAATTTAAGGCTCTCAGTGTTCCTTTAGCCACATCCCTTTTGCACCATTGTAGCTTTGTTATCATTTAGTTCAAATTAGATTCTCATTTCCATTATTTCTTTATTGATCCATGGATTTTTGTTTCATGAGGTAGAGAGAGTTAATTTTATAAGACAGTTCTCTTACATTTGTATTATCTTTTTGTGATCTACTTGTTCTATCAGCTATGAAAGACATGTTAAAATTATGATTGGGAATTGCTTTTGTTCCCTCTTTTTAGCTTTTTCCATATTGTGCTTTGTACATTTTATAGTTGCCTTTTACCAACCTGAAGGAATTTGTTTTTATTGCTGGTTGGTTGAGTATTTTTATCATGAGGGTTGGTTGGATATTGTTAAATATATTTTTCTGAGTCAGTTGAGATGATTACATAGTTATGGTTTTTTATTCTCACAATACTTGATGTTAATGGGTTTTTATATGCTAAAACAACCTTTGAACTCCTGTAAAAAATCCCACTTAGTTATGATGCATAATTCCTTTTGTTAATATATGAAGGTAGATTCAACTTGCTAGTATTTTGTTCAGGACTTTTGCATCGAAGATGAAGGCTGTCTGTAGAATAGAACAAACAAGAGGCAAGCCTTTAACAAAGTAACTGCCAAAAGTTTCCTCTTTTAATTAACACATTAGCTTATAGCAATATTAAATATTCAATTAAAAGCTTTAATTTTACTGTGCTACCTATATTTCACTAAAGTCAATTTTTTTTAAAATCAGGTTATTTTAACTTCCATGATAAAAGAATGTGAACAAAAAGTAGAGAACAAGACCGTCCAAGAGCCTCAAGGGTAAGACTTTAATTCTTTTTTATGGCTTTGTGTTAACCTTAATTTCTCTACATAAAATTTTTGTCAGTGGGTAAAGTGTTTTATATTGTGTTGTTTTGTGGTAATTAATTTAGAAGGCAAGAAAAGCCTTTAAATGGGCAGTTCACACATACTAATCCATAAACCATCTAGGAAATTTAAGATTCAGATCTCTGCCTCATTCTCTGGGCCCTCATCTTTCTGAGTCAGCCTGCTGCTGCTAAGTCACTTCAGTCGTGTCTGACTCTGTGCGACCCCATAGACAGCAGCCCACCAGGCTCCCCTGTCCCTGGGATTCTCCAGGCAAGAACGCTGGAGTAGACTGCCATTTCCTTCTCCAGTGCATGAAAGTGAAAAGTGAAAGTGAAGTCTCTCAGTCGTGTCCAACTCTTAGCGACCCCATGGACTGCAGCCCACCAGGCTCCTCCATCCATGGGATTTTCCAGACAAAGAGTACTGGAGTGGGGTGCTATTGTCTTCTTTGTCTGAGTCAGCCTAGAGATCTGTATATTTAAAAGCTTCCAGCCAAAACACTAATTCAAAGAGACGAGCACCCCAATGTTCATAGCAAAATTATTTACAATTGCCAAGATAAGGAAGCAGACTAAGTGTCTATCAACAGATGAGTGGATAAAGATGTGTGTATGTCTGTGTATACACACACACACATAATGGAATACTACTACACCATAAAAAAGAGGGTATTATACCAAGTGAAATAAGTCAGGGCAAGACAAATATTGTATGATATCATTTACGTAGAATCTAAACAATACAACAGGATTGTGAATATAACAAAAAAGAAACAGACTCAGATACAGAAAACAAACTAGTGGTTACTGGAAAGGGGGAGGGGCAATATAGGGGTAGAAGGTTAAGAGGAACAAACTATTGTATATAAAATAAATTACAAGGATGTATTGTACAATATAGGGAATATAGCTGATATTTTATAATAACTATAAATGGAATATAGCCTTTAAAAATTGTGAATCATTATATTGTGCACTTGTAACTTACATAATATTGTATATATCTATCAGTTCAGTTCAGTCGCTCAGTCATGTCCAACTCTTTATGACCCCATGGACTGCAGCACACCAGGCCTCTCTTTCCATCACCAACTCCTAGAGCCTGCTCAAACTCATGTCCATCGAGTCAGTGATGACATCCAACCATCTCATCCTCTGTTGTCCCCTTCTTCTCCTGCCCTCAATCTTTCCTAACATCAGGGTCTTTTCTAGTGAGTCAGTTCTTCGCATCAGATGGCCTAATTATTGGAGTTCCAGCTTCAGCATCAGTCCTTCCAATGAATATTCAGGACTGATTTCCTTTAGGATGAACTGGTTGGATCTCCTTGCAGTCCAAGGGACTCTCAAGAGTTTTCTCCAACACCACAGTTCAAAAGCATCAATTCTTCGGCTCTCAGCTTTCTTTATGGTCCAGCTCTCACATCCCTACATAACTACTGGAAAAACCATAGCTTTGACTAGACAGACCTTTGTTGGCAAAGTAACGTCTCTGCTTTTTAATATGCTGTCTAGGTTGGTCACAGCTTTTCTTCCAAGGAGCACGTGTCTTTTAATTTCATGGCTGCAGTCACCATCTGCAGTGATTTTGGAGCACAAGAAAATAAAGGCTCTGTTTCCATTGTTTCCCCATCTATTTGCCATGAAGTGATGGGACCAGATACCATGATCTTAGTTTTCTGAATGTTGAGTTTTAGGCCAACTTTTTCACTCTCCTCTTTTACTTTCATCAAGAGGCTCTTTAGTTCCTCTTCACTTTCTGCCATAGGGTGGTGTCATCTGCATATCTGAGGTTATTGATATTTCTCCCGGCAATCTTGATTCCAGCTTGTGCTTCATCCAGCCCAGCGTTTCTCATGATGTACTCTGCATATAAGTTAAATAAGCAGGGTGACAATATACAGCCTTGACATACTCCTTTCCCGATTTGGAGCCAGTCTGTTGTTCCATGTCCAGTTCTAACTGTTGCTTCTTGACCTGCATACAGATTTCTCAGGAGGCAGGTCAGATGGTCTGGTATTCCCATATCTTGAAGAATTTTCCTTAGTTTGTTGTGATCCACACAGTCAAAGGCTTTGGCATAGTCAATAAAGCAGAGGTAGTGTTTTTCTGGAACTCTCGCTTTTTCAACGATCTGACAAATGTTGGCAATTTGATCTCTGGTTCCTCTGCCTTTTCTAAATCCAGCTTGAACATCTGGAAGTTCATGGTTCACGTACTGTTGAAGCCTGGCTTGGAGAATTTTGAGCATTACTTTGCTAGTGTGTGAGATGAGTGCAATTGTGAGGTAGTTTGAGCAGTCTTTGGCATTACCTTTCTTTGGGAATGGAATGAAAACTGACCTTTTCCAGGTCAGGTCTCCCACGTTGCAGGCAAATTCTTTTTTTTTTTTTTTTTTTTTAATTTTACTTTTGCAGGCAGATTTTTACCAGCTGAGCCACAAGGGAAGCAAGCCCAAAAATGCTGGAGTGGGTAGCCTATCCCTTCTCCAGGGAATCTTCCCGACCCAGAAATCGAACCGGGATCTCCCGCATTGCAGGTGGATTCTTTACCAACTGAGCTATCAGGGACGTCCTTATAAGCTATACTTCAATAAAACATTAAAAAATAAAATAAAGCTTCCAAAGAGATATTGCTAGGTAGTTGGATTTGGGAGTCACTGGTGAAAATAGTTTCTAAAAATTTGTGACAAGAGTTGTAACATTTAATGTGATTCACTGCATAAAGGATTGTCAGCATGTGAATTCTAGTCATATGCTTCTAACCAAACTAATTAGAGTCAAAGATTTAGTGAAATTAAAATATGAACATAGATGTGAAGAATAAAGTTGGTCATTTCAGGACAGGAAGTAATTTATAAATAGTCTGTTGTACTTTTTCTAAAGTAACCTTGAACAGTTAAATGGAATCTGTTAGGCATGAAAAACTCAAAGGTGTTTCCTTTATAAAAGTGACTACCAGGAATATGTGTTTCATCTTGTCAGGCCAGGTACCCATGCAGAAAATCCTCCATACTCCCAACCCCAACAGACACACACACACACACACACACACACACACACACACAGTCTTTTCCTCCACATTCCCAACCCCAATATACACACGCACACAAAGAGTCTTTTCCTCCACACTCCCAACCCCAATACACATGTGTACACACACACACACACACACACACACACACACAGAGTCTTCCCTTACCACAGGTCAGAACTGTTGCCTTAGTCTCCTTGAATGGTGGGAGTTCTTCTATCATTTTAGCCATAGAAAGTTATAAAATAGAAATACTTTGATAGGTTTCTACTCTGAACACGAAATCCATAAAGTTAACATTAAAGCATATAATTCTGTTCATTTTTGTACATTTAATATGAACATTTTTGATGCCTTATTAGTTTAAAATGTAAAAGGTTTGGGACCAAAATTGAGAAAAATTGTATGTGAAATACATTCTAAATGACCTTTCATAAATTAGCATGCAGGAGTTTTACAAGAAAGAAATCTCTGTACCTTCCTGAGATGCCTTTGGTTATATGACCTTCCATTTAAAAAGAAAAGTTCACTTTTATAATCATAGTTTTCCTGTATTATTCAAATCTTCTATATTATCATTTTTTTAAATACTTATTATTTCAAATAGACACAAAACTAAACATGATATAATGAATCCTCATGTATTCATTACTCAACTTATAACAGTGAGTATGAGAATTAAGGTGAATTCAGGATATATTCAGATATGAATTCAGTTTAACTTGGCAACAGATTAGACTAAGAGAGAACTAGAATCTAAGGATTTCCAGGTTGGATGATGGCACAGTACAACCACGTGGAGCTATTCTCAAGAGAAGTGTTTATTTACAGTTTGAAGTACAGTTAGAAAACCACTGCAAGCAGTTACTGAGGTTTAGGAACTATTAGAATATCAGTGATAAGTAGAGGGGTGGAGGTGGATCTCACTTGTAAAGAGGGCTCAGATAGAAAACTAGACCAGTGTTTAAAATGCAGCATCCAGAAGAAGCTTGGGCTTTCCAGGTGACTCAGTGGTAAGGGATCCGCCTGCCAGTGCAGGAGACTCGGGTTCAGTCCCTGGGTCGGGAAGATCCCCTGGAGGAGGGCATGGCAGCCCACTCCAGTATTCTTGCCTGGAGAGTCCCATGGACAGAGGAGCCTGGTGGGCTACAGTCCATGGGGTTGTAAAGAGTCAAACACGACTGAGTGACTAATACTTCACTTCATGAGAAGCTTTGCTAAGAATTAGGAGGTAATTCAGAGTGGTGTCAAAAAATCAAACAGGAATTTAAAAGAGAAGGAGTAGTGGTCTTCAATTTGTAAGATAGAGTGATGTGGATAGAGAGAGAAGTATTCTAGGACATAAATAATTTTTAAAATAGGCCAGAAGCAAGAGGTTCTATAGATGCAGAATCAACAAGTAATGGGAAGCTATGAATTACAATGGAAAAGTCTGAGATTTCCTTGAAAGCCTGCAGTAAGAAGACAGTACTTTACAAGGCAGTCCATTTCATTTTTAACCACTTGGTTTTTTAAAAATTCCTTTCATATTCTGAGTTAAAGTCTCCCTTCCTGTAACATCTACTCTCTAAAGCAAGTTTTGGCAAGGGGTCAGAGTCAGACTCTTTTATCAAAGTAATAAAAACTACAAACTCCTCAGAAAAACAAACAAAAAAATGCTATAATGCAGTGGTGCTTTACTACAAAGCTTTGTAAAATACATACCTGGGTCCTCTACCCTGGAAGGAAAAAATCAGAATCACTGGGGTTAGGTCTAGATAGCCATATCAAAAAGTTCCCCAGATAATTGTGATGTGCCTCAGTAGGTCTCTGTAGATGTACATGGCTGTGCAGATGTATATTATATGTTTCATTTTTCACAGGAAGGTATCTTAAGCCTGCTAACTTTCCACCAAGCTAAACTTTGGTCATTCCTTTCACTTTTATGTCTTGGTTTCTAGACTCCTTAGCATATTGTTGTGCTCCTCTTAGAATCAGTGAGTTGATGGTATCTCAAATATTATCTGACCCATGTCTCCTGTTTCTCTAGATGCAGACTAAAATAAACCTTATCTTCTGACTTAACACTTTCCTACAGAAAGAAAACAGTACTTAACCTACAGTGTTAAGGAAAGGCATCACGGAATTTAAAACTTGGCTAGACAACAAAGAAGAGATATTTAAGTTGAGAATAGTTCAAACAGACTAGGCAAACATGACTCAAGGGAGTCGAGGAGTTACTCAGTGATGGTTGGCTTAAAACACACACCCACACAAGAATCAGATGGCTGTTTCTTGAATCCCATGCATATTTTATCTTGGAGGTAGTAAGTGGCCACTGAAGATTTTGAGAAGGGGTGTGATATAAAGAAGTGATTATTTAAGTGGTGAGTGACTAATACAAGAAGCCCAGATCCAAGATTGTTGGAATAATCCAGTTGTAAAGTATTGGCATTAGAAATAAAAGTAAATGATAGAGATGTTGTAAAGTCACAAGATTTGATGATAGTTTGAGAGCCATCATATTCACTGCTAGGAAGAGAGGAAAATGATAGAACTACTGGCAGGGAAAGAAATAAAAATGGGGTTGTTGTTGTTGAGTCACTAAATCGTGTCTGACTCTTTGCAACCCCATGGACTGCAGCACACCAGGCTTGCCCATCCTTCACCATCTCCCCAAGTTTGCTCAGACTCATGTCCATTGAGTCGGTGATGCCATCCAACCATCTCATCTGTTGTCCCCTTCTCCTGCCCTCAATCTTTTCCAACATCAGAGTGTTTTCCAGTGAATCGATTCTTTGCATCAGGTGCCCAAAGTATTGGAGCTCTTTGTTTCTAAAGTTAGGGTCTGAAAAAAGTGCTTGGGACATTGACTTCATCTAGTATACAACAGTTGATGATTCTGGCCCTCAGCAAAGTGTTGTGTTTCAATAAATATTTTGGAGTCATCCTGTGGAAATCTATTTGAAACATAGAGAATGAGCATGCTTTGTAATTGAAGAACTAGAGTCAGACACTGAGCCTGGTGGAGGAGTAGTTGTGGGAAGGGGAACACCAGCAAGAGAGGCGGGGTCAGAGGCACGGGGACACACCAGCTGGAGGCACTGGTGGAAGAGCAAAGGGAAAAAGAGGCTTTCAAGACGGCTGCCGCGGTCAGCTGCTGACCTGAGTCACGCACGGTGCACACCTTTGGAGACCACACAGAGCCAGAAGTCCGTGGCAGCAGTGCTGACTCCACGTGTAGGTTTAACAGACATCTGTTGAGCTCCTGTGCCTGGCTCGCCACTCACTTGTCTCTGACAGGGTCAGACGCATTCTCTTACTTAGACTTCGAGGCATTTTGCAGTAACAGTTGCAAACTGCACTTTACAGAGGAGAAAACGGAATCAGAGCGATCTAAAGCATCTTGGCCAAAGTCACAAAGCCAGGAGGCCGGACTCCTGAATCTATTTATTAGAGCACAATTGTTGAATCACTGAAAAATGTCCCTGATTAATACTTTGTTCAGTAGTACGATGTATCAGCAGTCTTTAGTAGTCATTTAGATTGTGCTTACTCCCTACACAGAAGGTTGGCTAAAGAGAAAGAAGATTTGACGTTGATCGACACTAGTGCAGTTGGCGAGTGATTACATGTTTCTTCTTCCCATGCCCCCCGCACACAGGAATACGTCACAGGATTGTTACTGGCACAGTACAAGACCTCAGGGTGGCTTTGTTTACTCATTTGTGAAGATAAGAATAATATCTATTTTCCAGGGTTGCTATAAGAATTAATTAAGTAATGCTAATAATAAGAAGGATGACACTTACACCTGCTATTACATGCCTGTCATTGCTAATAAGCACTTCATACTCATCAGGGGACCAAGTGTTAGTCGCTCAGTCATGTCCAACTCTTTGCAATCCCGTGAACTGTAGCCCACCAGGCTCTTCTGTCCATGGAATTTTCCAGGTAGGATTACTGCAGTGGGTTGCCCCTCCCTTCTCCAGGGGATCTCCCTGACCCAGGGATGGAACCTGGGTCTCCTGCATTGCAGGCAGATTGTTTACCAGCTGAGCCTCCAGGGAAGCCTTTATAATCCTTGAATAGCCCTATGAGGTAGGTACTAGAATTATGTTCATTTAATAGATGAGGAAACAGAGATTAAATAACTTGCCCAAAGTCACACAGCTCGTGAATGACAGAACTGAGAATTCAGTCTCATTCCAGACTTGCTTCTAATCACTATACCACACAGCTTTCTTTCAAGAAATGATTGACACAAAAGCCACTAATCTACTATGGTACCTAAAAGCTCTACTCCATAAGTGTGAGTTTCCCTTTTGTGATGCCAGTTCAGAATGTACTTCTTAATGTTCTATTACTAAAGACTTGGAAAAAAAAATAGATACTTTTCATTTTTTAATTGCTTTACACAAATTTCAAAATCTTTTTCCTAGCTCAATGTCAATTGCTGCAAGCTTAGTGAGTGAAGATACGAAGACCAAGTTCTTGAACAAAATGGGTCAGCTGACAACATCAGGTGCCATGCTGGCCAACGTGTTTCAGAGGAAGAAGTGAGAGTGGGAAGGGAGCCCCCAGTAAACACTAAGATGGACCTCAAGCAGACTGGTTCCTTGTACTTGAAGTACTTGCCTTTTTTATTTCTTTGGTTTTTGTTCTTGCATTATAATTTTATCTTAACCTCCAAAGATACTTGCACTGCTTTTGATTATTGCTGTGTATCTGTTAATTTTGGAGTTCCAACTGTGGTGATTAAAAAGAAACTGAGTTGATAGTCTGTACCAAGTCCCCCCTCTATGTTCTTGTCTTTCAGAATATTTTTTTTATATATTATCTATATATATAGTGAAGAGGTTTTTTTTTAATTTTTGGATGGGATATTAGCAAATACTTGTATGATACACTAAGCTATTACAATGGTACTTAAAATAATGTAAATTTGAAGTCATTGTTATAAAGTAATGAAAATGGAGATGAGTTAAGTATTTAAATTATGAAAGAATGACGCAGACTTTGTACTGTCTCTTAGCTGTTTGACTGGAAAGAGCCACCAGCATTATTCGTGCCTTTGGACTTCAGTGTGTGTGTCTGTAGGAGCTGAGTGCGTCCCGTTCACACAGGATTCACAATACTGTGATGAGTCTGGGTTACGAGTCCTACAGTCGACAGATAATACTGTAACTGTCAGCATTTCCGCGCTCTCATGAATGTTCTTTCAGTGCTCTTTAAATCCCCCATCACTCCTATGAATATAGTGGGCTCGCCTGAGGACAGGGAACACGCAGCGCATGGGGAGTGGTGACCACGGCGACGTCCACAGACTGGCGTGGAGCGGGTTCAAACTCTCAGACCAAACGTCAGTGAGAAGAGCTAGTGATTGCGACAGGAAATACAGAAGAAAGTATGGTTCGGACCTAAATGTTAATGCTTGTTTACATAAAACATTCTATTTAAGGTGATAAATTTTCTGATGAATTTTAATTTCAGAGATTATCTTTTTACCCCATGTGTTACAGAGAGGTACAGAAAAGTTCAGGACATTTGGGGGCTGCGTTTTTCCCTCTAGACAAAAAATGACATTGGCTTACTCACTAATAGGTCACAGTCATCACCTGTCTCTTAAAGTCAGTGACTGTTCTTGTGTTTGATATATATTACATAGAGTCTTAAGTCAGTGTACAGTTCCACTGGAATTTGACAATTGTCTGTCAAGTGACGCAACTTGAAGTAGAAAAGAGTGATCCTGGACATAGAAGGGAGGTGGTTGGCTTAAGGGTTTAATGTGAGGCCTTTTTGAAAAATGCATATTTTGGTAAAGAGAATTCTCTTTTGAGCACAGCTGATACACATGGGTGATTGTCACGTTTGTTGTATAAACTGGTTTTAATACGCTTGGAATATAGTTGGATTACATTCACTTCCTGGGCAAAGCTAGCTTACCACACATTCAAGCTTATAAAAAATAAATTGCCATAGGCAGAGCCATTTAAAAAGTTTATTCTGAAATTATTTCTTTAACCTACAGTGAAATAATTGTTAGCTAGTCTTTATGGAAACTGTTGGATTCTAGGCATTCCTGAGAAATTGAAAGTGGCTTCCTTTCATGTCAAAAATGTTGATGTATTATAAATAAAATGTTTTTGCATACTTGTTTTGGTTTTGATTTTGGCTATGTGTATTTATTTTCATTTTGAAACACTATATCCTCCAGCCAAGCAAAATGAAATGAGAAACTGTATATTCACTTAAATATATTTTAATTTAGGAATATAATCTCTATAAATTACCTCTTCTAGTTTACTTTTATTTAAAAAGCATTGTGTTGTATAAAATGAAAACATTTCTGAGATGATTTAAAGAAAAAATGTTTAAATTCTCATTTGCTTTGAACCATAGTAACATTAGTATGTTTGTTACCTGGTGAATAAATATAATGTATTTTTAATGTGATAGTTTTATTAATTTGTGAATCCATTTATCCAAATGCTAACAGGTTTTTGTGAAAGGCACCAGCCAGCAAGATAGGCAGTGTGTTTCGAGTCCCTCTTATCATGCTATTAAACACCTTAATGTCAGTAAGACTTTACATTTATTTTCACATGGCTCTCTACTGTAAAATATATTCTTTAATGACAAGACAGACACTAATCATGAAACTGGGTGTGTTCTTCCAAAACAAGCTGGAAAACTCCCATCCTCGCTCTTTTTAAACAGAGGTAAAAATGATACAAATAAAAGCAAAGTTTGCAAAGTAATGAAAAGTTCATTTGAAATTATGCTCCAAAGCAAGCCAGAGACTAAAATTTTTCAGAAATCCACAAGAGTTGTAGGTAGCAATTTTGCTACCTGTATTAATCTGAGGACGATGCTTGAGTGGTAGTATCACTACATGAATATACCTCCATACACAGCATCTGTGACCTTCATCTATTGGCATCAGCACCCCTTTTGAGAGAGTACTTGCTAAACATCAGATTAACTTACAACCTGATTGAAATTGTGAGTAATTTAGATAACTTTAATGGGGTATCAGTTCAGGTGCTATCAAGCTTCCTTTCCTTATTGAAAAAGAAAAAATGGTTCAAATAAATAGTCTCTGAACTAAACTTAAGTTTGGGGACGTGAAATCAGTGTGTACTGTCTTTTCACAAATCTGCTTTTTAAGATAAACTATTTTAGGCCATTATTTGACCTTTAAGAACATAACTTTGTCTCGACCCACCTTGTGGATCTTTGAACAGTGATAGCCAACTGCAGCTGACATTTTGTGCTGATTACAAGTTCTTAACTATTTTTTGTGTAAATAATGTATATTTAGTTTAAGAGGTTTGCAATTGGCTACTCCAATTCCTCAAATTCCTCAGATTGCCCAGGTAACTATATTACAACTTTATTTTAGTTGTTAACTCTTACAAGCAAACTGTGAAATAAATTTAGCCTTTCATATGAGTAGAGTGTTTGAAAACTTTAACTTTACAGTGTACTTCATTTGGTTACTATTTTATTTCAGTATATTTAAAAAATAATAGGTTAAAGATATATGTTACTAATAAAAAATAATAAATGTATACCTCATATCTGCATTTCGGCAAAATAATTGGATTTTAGACTGTTTTCATACTACATAAGAATGCTCTGTTTACCATTCATCTAGCCCTAACCTAATGTTCTTTTCATGGAGCCATTACATATTGATCAGGATTGTGTAGTCTTACACATTTTGGACTCAGCAGAGTATCTGACTGTTTCTCGTAGCGTCTTGGTTTGTTTCCCAAGTAAAGCACATGGGTGAATGAAAGCGCAAGCAGAGCGCTGTGCCCTGTGCACATGGCCAGAAAGCTCGACACAGCTCGTCTTCGTGTCTCTGGCTCTGAGCAGCCCATTTAGCAGCAAGCCTTACCACGTTTTCTAAGCCGTCTGTAAATGTAGTAAAACCATCCCTTTCTAAAGATTATGCAGTCATTCACTACTCAACATGTGTATTATTTATGGAGTACCTATGTTGTGCTAGGCACAGGAGGCAATGAATAAGGCCAACATAGAACCGAGCTTGCAGCCAGGCAAGGAAGCAGGTTGAGAGGGAAGGACTGAGGAAGACTTCCCTTAATTAGGATGAGTACTTTGGAAGGCCTCTGTAAGGTGACATGGTACCTGAAAATTAGGAAAATTTACCCATGTGAGACCAGGAAGAGAAAAAAGAGCAGTATGAGCATAGGCCTTGGTGTGTTTAGGGAATTGGAAAAAGAAGACCAGTGTGACTCCAGCATTTTGAATGCGATGGAGTATCAACAGATGAAACTGGAGAGGAGTATAGCCAGATCACACAGGTTCGATCCCTGGGTTGGGAAGATCCCCTGGAGTAGGAAATGGCAACCCATTCCAGTATTCTCGCCTGGAAAATTCCATGGATGGAGGAGCCTGGTAGGCTACAGTCCGTGGGGTTGCAAAGAGTTGGACTTGACTGAATGGCTTCATTTTCTTTCTTTTCACATGGTTGAAGTAGTAGACTGAGTTGATCCAGTTTACATTATGTTTGGACCAGAGAAGGCAATGGCGCCCCACTCCAGTACTCTTGCCTGGAAAATCCCATGGACGGAGGAGCCTGGTGGGCTGCAGTCCATGGGGTTGCGAAGAGTCGGACACAACTGAGCGAGTTCCCTTTCACTTTTCACTTTCATGCATTGGAGAAGGAAACAGCAACCCACTCCATTATTCTTGCCTGGAGAACCCCAGGGACGGTGGAGCCTGGCGGGCTGCCCTCTATGGGGTCACATAGTCGGACACGACTGAAGTGACTTAGCAGCAGCAGCAGCAGGCTTTGTAAGAATGCCCTGGAAAGAGGCAGGAGGAGAGGCTGCAGGGGCTTCCCTGGAGGCACTCGGGGTAAAGAACCCACCTGCAATGCAGGAAACACAAGAGACAATGGTTTGGTCCCTGGGTTAAGAAGATCCCCTGGAGGAGGAAATGGCAACCCACTCCAGTGTCCTTGCCTGGAGAATCCCATGGACAGAGGAGCCTGGTGGGCTGCAGTCCATGGGGCCGCAAAGAGTCGGACAGGACTGAAGCAACTTATCGAGCATGCAGAGGCCGCAGGCAGAAGCTAAGGCAATGTCTAAGCAAGAGCTGATGGCAGCCTGGACGCAAATGGAGGGGAAAGGGCAGAACTGGGATAAATTTGGGGCGTAAGACTGGCATGACAGCTTAGGTATGAAGAGTGAGGGGAAAAGAAAAACCAAAGATGCCACTGAGATTTTTGGCTGGATTCACTGAATAGTGATAACAGTAAGGAAATTTTAGGGGTGAATCTACAGTTTTATTTGAGATGTGCCAAAATCGAGATATCTGAGAGGTACCTGTCTCGAGGTCGAGTGAGAAGTTAGTTATCCAAGTCTGGGTCTCAGCAGAGGTCAAGGTTGAAAATACAGATCGTGGAGTCACTGATATTTGACTAAAGCCATGAAACTAAATGCGATGGCCTGGGGAGAGAGTAACCGTGGAGGAGACGCTCCGGTATCTGGAAGTTCAGTACAGCAGGAGGAGCTGCTCAAAGACTCAAGGGAAGTGAGGCTGCAGAGAAACCAAGAAAGGGTGGTTTCTTGGAAGCAAAGAACACCCAAGGAGCAGCGGTGGCCCCTCGGCAGTCAGTGGGAGGGTGGATCTAAGATCGGCGGAAGATTACAGTCACTGGTGACGTCAGTAGTAAACTCAGAGCTTCGGTGGAAATAGAGGCCTGATCGCAGAGGGTGGAGGGAGACCGGGACGGGGTGCCGGCCCTTTCGGGAAGTGTCGCCGCAAAGGGGAGCGGAAGCCCTGGCATGTAGCGAGGATCGTGAGGTCCAGGAGAGGCGTGGAGGGAACTTTTGGAACAAGAGGAATTAGATCTCTACATAGGCTGCTGAGAGCGAGTCAGTAAATTGAGAGAGAATGGTGATGCAGCAGCAGTAGGCGACGGCCGTGCAACAGTGAGGTCCCTGAGAAGGCACGAGGGCGTGCGGTTCAGACGCAAGCGCGTCCGCCTCCTCCGTACTTGGAGAGGATAGGTGCGCTGGAGGTAATTTGGTAGATGTAGTGGTGGGAAGGTTTGGGGTTTTCCATCTCTTCTCAGTAAAGTATGAAGCAAAGATAGTGTGGCCGGCATGTGGAAAGTTTTGGAGGTTTGAGGAAAAAGAAGGTAGAAATCTTTGTCTCCAAGAATGGCAGAGTATTATGGATAGAATTGTTAAATTGCCAAGCAATTGTGAAAGCTGATTTGAGAATAGTAACTATGAATTTAAAGAAAGGCAGTTAACACAATTGTGGTTTGCTGTTTTTTTTTTTCTTCCAGACAAAATTAGCTGGTCAGAACAGATGTGACGTATACCTACAATAAAGTAGAACCAGGTCCGGGTTTTTCCAGGTGCAAAAGATGAGGAGAAAAGACAAGGACAGTAAACCTCTTGCAAAGAAATTATCATCGTGATGGACCCATAGAATCGAGCTGGGAAAGGGGGAAAACAATCACACAGATGGGCCTAAATAAAGTCAACAATATGTAAGTGAGCTGGAAAGAGCTTCCTTTGAGAGTAGACCTGAAAAGCAAATACTCTACCTGTCCAGCCTTTAAGAGCACAGAGCTTTGTGGAAACAAAATGGAAAAGCCTCCACTCTAAAAATAGCAACGAAGGCGATGCTTTAGGAGTGATGGTGGTTTAGTCCCTAAGCCGTAGCTGACTCTTGCAACCCCGTGGACTGTAGACCACCAAGCTCCTTTGTCCGTGGGGTTTTCCCGGCAAGAACACCAGAGTGGGCGGCCATTTCCTCCTCCAGAGCGTCTTCCCGACCCAGGTCTCCCATGCTGCAGGCAGCGTTTTTACCAAGGGGTAATCAGGATTCAGTTAGCATGAGTGCAAGAGAAGACGCTGAGGGTGTGGATGAGAAATCTGAAGACAGCCCTCGAGTTCCCGTGTGCCCAGGGGGGAGGGTTAGAGATTAAGGGGGTTTTTCTCCGAGGTCTGCTGTGTGAACCTGGTCAGGCTCCTGGAGGTAAGAACAAACGGAGCGTCGGGGCCTCCGACAGGGCTCCCTGGGGTCTGTGACTCTTAGACTTGTCCTCTCTGGGCCTGCAGCAATTGATCGATTACAGTTCTAGTTTTTCCACCCCTGCCTTGGTTCCCACAGAGGTTATAGCTTGTGAGTTTTCTGCTCTGATAATTTGTAATTCTCTGTATTTGCCTGTCAGTCTCTCCAGTTTCGGGGGCAGTGGTATGCCCTGGGACCTCCCTTCTCTTAAATGGATTTAGGGAGGGTTACTGATTTCCTGGTGGCTCAGGGTAAAGAATCCGCCTGCAGTGCAGGAGACTAGGGTTTGATCTCTGGGTCGGGAAGATCCCCTGGAGAAGGAACTGGCAACCCACTCCAGTATCCTTGCCTGGGAAATCCCGTGGACAGAGGAGCCTGGCGGGCTAC